CATAACTTTAGAGTCGATTTCGATCGCGACAACGATCGATGAATATTGTAGGATCGCAATATGTTCATTTGAATCGAATTCACGACCCCATACCAAAACTTTGTATTACCTTTAAGGGGGCATTTGTTCAAGGAGGTAATTTTCTGAAGGGAGTTTTCAAGTGTCCTTAGCTTAGGAGTATGATCGAGTAGATAGTTTGGAGTAGTCCTGATATTTAAAATACCACTTGTTCGGCTATCAGTGGGACACCGGTGTATTCCTTCCTTGGGTATAAGTTTATTTGTAAAGTAATTGAGATTAAGAAAGAAAAGATGCATCAGATGATGGGAATTGATATAAGTAACACTCAAAAAATCTACCATACTGGGCATGGTGGCTCAGTGGTTAGAGCGCCCGCCTCATGAACAGGAGGTCGCGGGTCGAACCCCGGCCGAGTTAAACCAAAGACTTATAACAATGGGACCTTCTGCCTTCTAGCTAGGCGCTCAGCATATTAGATTGCAGAAGAGTAGTAATAACATATTATGTTATGCAGGGCCCGCTGGAGGAGCAGTTTCATAACTGAAGTGGCTACCCTGGGTAAATAAAACGTTATTATTATTATTATTATTATGTATTATTTTAAGATATCCACAACATGGATGATAAACCAAGACTCCAACCGAGGAATAATAAAAATATCATAAAAGTGTGACCCTAAGATGACCCGACAGAATCTGCCTTATTTCCAACAAAAATACCGATTATAGACATAGACAATGATGGTATCTGGTAAGGCAAGGTTGCCTAATAGACATGTCTGGAATTAGGGGAGCGATATTTTTGGCGCCAATGGAAGTGCGATTAAGTCTGTTCTCATGGCAACAATTCAATCATAATCCACGAATAACAATTTATTCGGATATTGTGTATAAAGTTATTAGACAGAAAAAAGACTTATGTGTCGGATACAGTGCATTGCTTGGATAAAATCTATTATTATATTGATAGCTATTGACTTTTATGCCATATGTCATGTATTCAACGCCTCGCCTTCAATTTACTTCATTACATACCGTGCTTTGAAATTTTCCTCCCCATGATACATCTCTTCTATAGTTCTATATTCTATTACCATCACAAGCCATGTCGATCTGGGACCCGTTTCACAATGCTTTTTTTCAATGACAATTGACAAATATCAGTGACAAATCTACTGATAACCAATAAGAAGCAAGGATTTCAGTAGCTTATAACAACAACTGTCATTTGTCAAGTTGATGACAAGTTTTGTGAACCCCCCCCCCCCTTGTCTCCGTTCATCCAATGACAGAGTTATACATGTATGTCAGCTCCCCGGTTTTTTAGGAACCGACTCTCAAAATCATTGAAAGATTGTAAAGCTGAAGATAACTTTAAAAGAAATCTAATTACAAGTGCTTTCTCCAAATATGCTTTGTTCTGTTTTATTTTAAACACCTCCAGAATATTTTTGTCATTACATTATTAAAGGCTCGTTCAGAAATGACGCAAAACACCGTCCCAAAAACATATCCGCCTCTGTAATCCTAACAAGAAAACGCGTGTGCCTGCTCAAATTATTTACATTGAAAAAGGAGACATAATAACTGTTTTGCTTGTTCATTTTAATTCTTGTCGCTTATAATGACGCATGTTATTTTGAATTCAGAGCCAGGATACCGAAACATACCTCAACATGCTCAAAGCGGCAATTTCTGCTTGAATTTGTTTCATGGTCGCCAGAAGCGATATAACACATGTTTTTTAATTTCCTGCAACTTGTGTATGTAATCCGGCGACAATTTTCCATTCTGAAATCATCGCCAAGACAAAAATAGAGATTTTAAATATATATATATATATTGTGGTGATGACGGGTAATATCATGTTGTCCCGACTTCGTCCCTGATGATGCTACATTGGTGATAAGTTAGCCATGAAGTGTCATCTGCAATTCGACGATGTATCTGTGTGCCTTTTTTCTTAGTGTAAATGCATGGGTTATTGCCAGGTGATGAAGGAAACGTGTGTTCTTTAAAGTTTACACGAGTAGATGGCGTAGGACCGGTTTTACAAATTCATTTTCAAATTTTATTGATTATAATGCAAACACATAGGACCTTTCTCTTCGTCATGATAACACAAATCGAAATTATGGTGTAGCAAAGATAATTCGTGTAAATGACAGAATTACGATAATTGGCGATGACACAAATTAACGTACTTTCACATGTCTCTCGGGAATATAATACAGAGAGGATAACAAATTACTCTTCTCGTAGTTCTTTTTACAATCTTCAATTGCAGCGGGGATAAAAAAAAATAAAAAAATCGATGATTATTTGCACGTTGTGTATCAAAGGGATCCGGTAACTTTGTCTCAGATTCTGAAACAAAATCCTGGATTAAGCTCATGCTGCAATCATAATTATAAACATTTAGGTCAGTCAGGAACAACATGACTTTTACAAGCTGATCGCCTGTCTGATTATAAAGATATTTTCATAAAACTACAGTCTATTGGGGAAAACGAGTATGGTAAAACCGGTCACTCAAAGATTTTTATTTTTTTGAGGCACTTCTTGATCATTTTGAAGCGCAATTTTTTAGGGCTTCAATATTACACCGTAATTATGACAGACACTGAGAACACGTAGGGCCGTGTATCTAAGATTTAACATTGTTAAACGATGCCTTGAATAACAAAACTGATCCCGTGCGAGAATCTTTTGGGGACATCCGAAGATTTTGAAATACCATTTGACCAATTTAAGCTGAAATCAGTCAGCGGTATGTTTTTTTTTTTTAATAAATAAAAATGGAAATGGAAAAAAAACAACGAGGAAACACCCGAAATCTATTCTGTGCGATGATCTCATTTCTTGACTCTAAAGCATGGAGGTTACAATGACCTTAATCACGTGACCCTAATGACCTCTCTCACGAGTTGGACCCTGGACCGGAAACCCGCTGTGAGGTAAACCCGAAAGTTGGAAAAAATACAAAGTGGTAGCAATGGCGGATACACGAGTCCGTGACGCGAGGGGGGGGGGGGGGGGGGGGCACATTTTTAAAGAATCTCTGACAAGCACGCCCAAAAAATGTTATCATTTTTAAGGGGCATTTTGGGGGGAAGATCATCAAAGAATTGTTTAAAAACCCATGCAGGACATGGAACTTTCGCGTTTCGTAAAATAGAGAATTTCAAGGCAAGAAGTTTTCGCAAACTTTTCGCAATAATTTAGTTTTTAGTCAGGTGACATTTATTTCGCCGCATATCGATTTTCGCAAACCACTCTCGAAATTTGTGAACATTGCCATGCATGATCGCGAAAGTGTCTCTTTTTACAAACAGTGGTAAACCTACACACTATTTTGTTTCTCTTTTTTGATATCTTTCCACGAAAATTGAACAGGTATTTCATCTCCGAATTTGCAGTATCCGGATGCTTTTAATCAGACATTTTAAACGAACTAAAAACTAATCTGTTGCGAAAAGGAAAATCTCTTAACCCGCCTGGCCCCTTTGTGTCTTAAATAATCCCTACGTCTAAAATTCGCAACCAGAAATACAAACGTCTCAAAGTACTGCAGTTTTTGAAGATGTGTGATTCATAGTCACACATCTAAATATCATCAATATTTCGTCGCTTAATTCAACGGGATTACCTCTTAAACGAACTGTCATCATCCCATTACGACTGTGTCTGGCTTGTGTGTAATGCTTTCGCGAAGTAGGCTGTATGAATCACATCGGGAAACGGGGGGTTTCTACGGTTGCTGATTTAGCGATTGGCGATGTACGCCGATCCTAAAAATATCCTTGGATTAAATTTTGACGTCATCGTGATCTTTCGAGTGATGAATTTTGTCTGATGAAGGATTAAATGTATTTAAAGGATATTCAAAATCGCCCCCTATTTTTGTCGAGCCCCCTTCTTGTACCCCCTTTGGCTATATTTCACTTTCCTTTTTCTTTTTTGCTATTAACTCTTCAGTATAACGGCATATTTACAGGGGGACCAGTGCCCCCTTTCAAATGGCGCAAAGGAATGGGAAAAGAGAAAGAATGAGAGGGGGAGGGACGGGAAAAACAGATGAAAGGACCCCCCCCCCCCCTTCCGCAACCCTTCCCTATCAATCAGTGACACTCTTAATTCGCCTTTCTTTCAAAATCCACCCCATCCCTCCCGATGTTATTGTGCCTCATTGTTTAAGTGACTGCATGCTACGCCATCTCAGGTGAAATTCTTTATACTATCAGTTTATTCAAGTGTTTCATTTTTCATTTTTCAAGTTCATTTCTTTTTTTATTCCACAATTTTTTCTTCACATGCATAATAAAATTCCTTTCTAGTGCACTCTTTTATAATAAACTGAAAGAAGACACATAGCTTGGTCTAAATGATATAATCTAGTAAAGCATACAAGTCGATTACAACATAATGAGTTTGTTTATGCTTTTTATAGTTCGTCGTATGAAGTAAAGTGGAGGAATGTTGTTCTGAGTACACCCAGTAAATAAATAATCTACAGACAGGAAAGAATGAAGAATATAAGAAGGGAGAAAGAAGGAATTAATGAAAGAAAGGGGGAAAGAAAACGAAGGAATGGTTAGAAGAAATGTAGAACATTAGCAGACAAACAAACATCGTCACTTTTTTTCTCCAAAGTGTTTTCCAGTAGAGGTGTCGTGGTCGAGTGTGTACGTGGCCGGACTGTCGATCATAAGGTCCGCGGTTCGAGTCACGCCTCGGCACTAATGTCCTTTGGCGAGACATTGATCTGCATTTGCCACACTCCTGCCAGGTGAATTAAATGGGGACTGGTAGGAATTTATTCCTTGAAACGCAGATCGCGTGACAGCTGCTCTGCTAAAGCCAGGGTAATTATGCTGCATCGCTATAGTCGAGCGCTTAGAGACTTCTGATAAAGTGTTATATTAGCAATTATTATAATTTCTAATAAACTGTTTGTTTTCTTCATTTCTTTTATCTCAGATCAGGAAGTGTCTCACATATCCACTTCCAGCAGCAGACTGTCAACTTTACTGCATTGCTACTCAGCAGATTCACGAGGTAATGATGTCAAAATTAATTTGAACCTGGGGGGGGGGGGGGGGGGTGTTTCACAAAGATCCCAAGTAGAACTTAAAGATAAACTCCAGTACTGGTAAAAAAAAAAAAAAAAATTAATTCTCACAGAATCAAACGAAACTTAAACTGAATGTTCAAGATTACAAATAAATGACATGTGCCAAACAATTTTGGAAGAAAATGTATACTGGCTGAGTAATGAGCATAGAAAGACAAGGAAATCAAGGTAGTACCAGCCCCGACACCATGTGTGTTGTCCCATATATAGCTTTCTATGTGAGTGCTTGTTACTTTACCAAGATTCGGTCAAATTTATTATGATTTTGATGACTCCAGAACCTTGCAGTGCACACCAGTACTTACATGCTACATGATCAACTGTTTCTGATCCTTTCCACACCTTTTCTTTCACAATGCAATCGCATTACCGGTACTAAAGTTTATCTTTAACTCTCAGTTGGACTTTTAAAATATGGAGAGCCATTTGTAGCCTTGGATTGGAATATATTCAAAAGCAGACATTCAAGTATTTTAGACTTTTCATAAATTCCACATCAAGAACATGAAATCTCCTAGATACATTGTCGCTCATATAGTTGGAATATTTTTGTTTTACCCCAATTTATGGAATTATTTTGACAATGACTTAATCCTAATAGATCTAGATAATAGTATATATTCTCAGATTTTATTGAATAATAATTTGCCAGTGTTTGTTTTGCGTGACTTCCAAAGCATGTGTATGCTACTATGCTTATCAGCTAGGGGACCTACGCCCTTAAGTCATAAATAACAGTAATGAGGATTAATGCCCCACAAAAGGGCACTAATATAGCACATCGACACGGTTTTGATCATGGGGCCTCACAGTTACGAGGCCATTGCTTGGCCACTGAACCGTGACTGTACGCAGCAGGGGCTTGGGTAGGGGGCAGTTCCCACAAATAAAAGAAAAAAAAGAAAATGCAATACATTTTCAATAATTCATTGAATTTCCCCCGGTCCCCAACAGAAAAAAAAATCTTCTGTGGCATTATGCATTATCCGATTGTGCAATAATGTTGTTATCTATTTCTTTCCATTGCAGCTCCAAAGTACGTGCTTCTTTCATCACTTTTTCAACGTTTGCTGAAGTCGTCACAAGGCTTACAAGTGACAGGTTAGTAAAACCTCGTACAATCATACTGACAAGTGACAAGTCAGTGAAGGTCTTAGGTCGGGAGAAAGGCCTGGTAGAGGGTGCTATAACTCCCACATAAATTGTTAGAAATATCCCCATCCGAAGTAAAATCACTTTCTCTCTCTCTCTCCCTCTCTCGCTCTCTCTCCCCTCTCTCTCTCTCTCTCTCTCTCTCTCTCTCTCTCTCTCTTTCTGTCACTCTTTCAGTGATTTTGGAGACATTATTTATGACCAAGGTGTTTTAAAGTTTTATAATTGACGCCATCTACGTGCAGTTTTCTTTAAAAGTTTTATTATGTGCTTAATTCAAATATATTTTTTACACAATCCAAACATATTAATATTTGCATTTTCCTCCCTTTCGCTCTCTCACTCCTCCCTTTCTCTGCCTCCCCCTATTTCTCCCTACCCCTTTCTGTCTCTTCTCTCGCACTGATTATTGCTTTATCATCATGATCATGTGTTATTTGTTCTCTTTCTTTGTTATATATTTATTACCCAGTGCTGCTCTCACCAAGGGGATTCAACGCCTTCGTGCTGTGGTGCCGGATGGAAATACACATCTACATTATGGCATTGAGAAGGCCAAGACACAAATCATGTCATCAGGTACGTTACCATGGTTACAAGATGCGGATCGGTACCATCTTGTACATGTAACTCTTTCTATTCAAAGCAATTTTCTTCTCATGAAGCAGTTGGCAAACTGAGGTCATTAATGCTTTCGTGCATTTCAATACCGTGATTCAACGAGGAAAAGATGCAAACACGTTGAATTGATAAATCGCATCCAGCATAAAAAATACAGTGTATTGTGAAAAGAATAGAAAAGTTGTTGAATTTCCAGCATAAATAAGTGTATTGTGAAACGAATAGAAAAGTTGTCCAATTCGCAAATCATGAAATCTATGCTTCTCCCATCCGTCATTCAATACATTACATAAATAAATTCGTGAAAACAAAACTCATAACGATCTTGATCACATCTGATCAATCAATCAATCACTCACTCACTCACTCACTCACTCACTCACTCACTCAATTAATCAATCAATCAATCAATCAATCAGTCACTCACTCAATCAATCAAATAAACAGCTACCAACAAACTAAACAATTTACCATTCAAATTCATTTTATGAAACGAAAAAGTAGAACGATTGTGAAATCGGGAAATAATCAAAAGCTTTGTCATGATAAAATACAATAAGTTACATCGTACAAATACGTACAATTAAGTTAGGATGTCAAAAATGATCATTCAAATTATCGTAAAATAAATATGTGTCGAGCTGTAGAGCAAAATAATTTTTTTTTGAAGCGCTCGATTTGCTTCAAAACGCTTAGAGATTGAAAAGAAAGGCTTTTAAACCGATTAGTCATAACATTATTTTCGGGGTTTCAAAAGTCTGTTTTAACTCCGATTGCACACGAGGTTTCATATTGCTGTCGTTGTTGTGTTTTTGTGGGTTTTTTTGTTACTTGCCATGCATGTAACAGTGACGTACGAAATATGAAAGCAAAATAAACAAGTAAAACATGGAGTACCAGCGTATGTGCTGATTGCCTTTATACCCATGACAAGGCGAGGCCTATACGGCTTTTTTGTTTAAGTTGTTGTATTGTCCTTTGCCATCGACCCAAAAACCTTAAAACCTACGGTCGGCTTTTTATCTTTCTTTTTTTAATGTTTTTGAATAAATGAATTAAAAACAAAAATGTATTAAAGCATTACAAACCTAAAAAATATCAGCCCAAAGAGGAAAGAAAAGAATAAAAAATACCCGACCGACCCAGGTGCTGGCACCTAAAAGGCAAAACAACATTTATTGTTGTTGGCCTAAATAATAGCGCACTTTATTTATGACGCCTCATGGGAAACGGGCATGAGAGTTGTAAAACGTCATTGAAATTTGATTTCTATGTCAATGGAATGAAGAAATATTTGAAACGATTCTTCATTAATGTTTTTTAAAGCCCGTCTGCACTAGTTTGGCCAAGGGGGTTAGACCTCCCTGCAAGGTCACTGACAGGTGGTTATCTCATCAAATCTGTTGGGGACCAACAGGCGCCGATTAGGCGTTGTTTGCTATATAGAGGGCGCAAGTAGCTATAAGTAGTGCAGTGGGGCTTAAGAACTTAGAGGCAGGCTGTTTTACGATCGCTGCCACTGCTGTAACATATTTTTAATCGCACCATCTTTCGGTGAAAGGGATCGTTTAACAATGTTAAATCTGATATACACGGTCCTACATGTTACCAGTGTCTGTGATATGGTGTAATATTGAAGCCCTAAAAAAAAATCGCGCTTCAAAATGACCAAGAAGTGCCTCAAAAAAGTAAAAATCTTTGAGTGACCGGTTTTACCATAACTCGTTTTCCCCATTAAACTGTAGTGTTATGAAAACCGTTCAGCGAACGGTTCTCAAAATTTGTGATTCCAATCATTAATATCTTGATTATCAGACAGGCGATCGGTTTGTAAAAGTCATGGAGTTCCTGACTGACCTAAAGGTTTATAATTATTATTGCAGCATGGGCTAAATCAAGGATTATTTCTAAAGGATCTAAGACAAAGTTACCGGGTCCCTTTAAGGCGTACATGGTGCGATTTGCGGTTCCTGTACCCAAACATCAGGCAGCGCGTCATCGGTTGTTGATGCATTGTGGAACATGGATGTGCACACATCTGGACCGTTGCGAGCACCAGATGGCAGTATACATAAATCCGAAGTAGTGTCAGTAGAACCCCCTGTCTTAAAAGGATTGCTTATGATAAATAATTCCACGAGCTACCATGCAGATGTTGATGATGACGGTGCTTCAGCGAGAGCTTCGGGAGAGTTCTTGCACATTTCTTGGAGAGTCAGAATGTAGTCCTGAGCCAGCAGGAGCGTATCCACCTTACTACATTTCTGTCGGACAGGGTATCGTTGCAGTCGTCGACCACCGGCCCGTGGGGAGTTAACATCTAGGGCATCACGGGGAAGCACCCGACGAAGAAGTTCGAACGCATCTCTTAGCTGATGCATGCGGTCGCGCTCTCGCATGTTGACGCTCTCGCGTTTGACTTCGGTCGCGCGTCGCTTGCTGTACATGGTATTGCCATCGGGACCTTTGGGCGGTTTTCGACCCACTTTGCCGACAGTTCTGGTGGATTTAGCACACAGAGTCGTTGCTGTTCTTTCTGGTGCGCTTGAACATGATTGTGTGTTTTCTTGTTTGACTTTAGGCTGGATGTCATGTTCATGCGGTCTTTTGTTTTCATTGAACTGCTGTTGCTGCTGCTGTTGAAAGTACTGTCTTTGATCTCGCAGGTGATATCGATGTGGAGTTGGCCATTGAGAGTTTTCTCCAAGCGATTCGTACTGATGATTTATAGGAAAGGGTGTCTGAAGGTCAGAGGTCCACATGGGCTGTGGGAATGCTGACGTTATCATATCATCGACACTACCGCTATCAATCTCCCTGTCGGAGACGTGGTCGACAACCGAAGTCCCGCTGATGGAAGATGCGTCGAAGTTCACTTCGCTGCCACCAGAAGAAGCAGTATGGAAGCCGATGTATCGGTTGTGTGTGACGTCATCGAACTCCTGATTCAACGCAAGCAGGACCTCTTCCGCAAGGTCAAAACTTTCTTCTCGATCAAACGCCATATTGGACGACGGATTAGTTGATGAGAGGATCACGTGATGTAACTGATGTTCAAAATGCTGATTTCTGTGAAATAAAAGGGAGAACAATGTTAACACGTTATTATTTTGTTTTTTTTAAAGACCCTTTCTCCCAAATGTTCGGCTTGGTCACAATGTGTCTTCTCTGATGTTGATGGCAATTACGTGAAATGTTAAGAATGAAAATAAAGTGGGTTGGGAAGCACGTATCTGCCGGTATTGAAGCCCAGTCATAAAATTGAAAGCCAGTTTTATGTAATGCCCTAATGAATGGGAATATAACCTTTACGGAATAATCAGTAAAGTCAGCTTGCATAAAATCGAAAGAAAAAGAAAAGAAAAGAAGGGTAGTTTTAGGGCACGTATCTATCAAAAATGAAGCCCAGTCACAAAATTCGTCGCTGTTTTCACGAAGTGACGGTAGTGAAAAAAAATTGCATTCACTTTGCGTTACGATTTTCCTCACTACCGTTACTTCGTGAAAACAAGGACGAATTGAACTCCGGTTTTATGTTTTTAATTGATAAATTATTTCAAGTAAATGCTAGTCATTGATTTCGTCGGTAGAGACGGTAAGTTTGCAGCATGATATCGGAAAAAATGAATTTAAGGGCAGTTTCGGGGGGGGGGGGGCACGTATATCTACCGATAATGAAACTCAGTCACAAACTTGAACTCCGATCGATTTTATATTCCGAATTTAAATATCCTTTCAGTTCGAATATACAAATCGGTTATAAGGTTGCGTATAAAGTTCATGGTGAATAAAGCTCATTTAAAAAAAAAATGTCAGTCAAAATAAATAACTCTTATGCTGTGCCGGTGTCACAACTATGTGACAACCATCCTAGGTATTTTCAGAACACCTTGCTCCACCAAGAATTATGTTTATGATTGTCGAATTTGATTTAATTTGATTTATTTTCTTCTGCATTCCATATCAATATAAATAATTTTCGGTTACAAAACAAACATAAATTACTAAAAGGTACTTTATAACAATGATTCTTAAAGAATACTAAAAATATAACACCCAAAAACAAATATTATGAAATAAATGAACAAACTGTTTAAGCAGAATGGACACATAATTGAAAGCATGTTCAATATAAGGGTAAAGATGATGTTATTGTTGTTGTTGAAGATGATATTGATGATTTTATTTAAAGACATATATACAGGGATGATAAACTATGAAAACTATTATGACGAATTATATTACTGTTTTGGATGTGTGGAGATTTTTAAAAAAGTATGAATATATTTAGTTTTTGACGCCCCTGAAACTGGTAAAGCCGGGTTTAACATGCATATAGCTAAAAAAAAATTAAAGGTTGAAGTAACATACCTGTTTAAGGTTCGTTCATAGGAGAAAGAAGTTCAGCAAACCGATCGAATCCAATAATTATGTCCACGACTCCGAAAAACGTCGCAGATTTCCGAAATTCTAAATGGAAGTTCGAAACCACTCTTCTCGGCTAGGCTGATGTTGTGTACTTTGTAAAGATGGCTCCAATAGTGTCAAGTTCTGTAATGACAAAATGGATAATTCTATCACATAATTTGAAGAAGAAACAAAAAAAGATGAAGGTAGCTTACGACCCTAAGTTGTGAAGTGGGGAAACTCAATTCATTATGCATGCACACACTTGTTTATAAACAATGATAGATTAAAATAAGTATTTAAAGACACCGTGATACGTTTGACGAAAATAATGAAACGCTAATGCCCGGAGAAAATGAGTGTCCTACATGGCGACAATGCTAGACCATGAGAAATTGCAGTCTAAAATCCAAGTAATAAACATAAAACCTCAAGAAATCGGCTCAAAAAAAATCGAACAGGTAGTCCCAAGCGCTTACGTACTATATCGTCCTGAAGATGGTCTCCGCTGAAGTGAGAGTTTCTGAGTTAGGTTGGCGCCTTTTATGGGTGACGGCGAGGGGCGTTTGCCAGGCAAGGGTCGTTTGACCGGGGAACGCGATTGGTGCGTCTATAGCTACTAATATCTTTCTTCTCCTTCTTCCTCTTTATTTGCAGGTAGTGATACAGCTAGTGTGATTATAACGTCTAGCTTTTTACTTAAGTCCTATCCACCCCCCCCCCTCCCACCTCCATCATAGTACAAGATCAAAGGGGCTAGAACTAGATGACATCAGTTAGACTACCAGTAGGCCTGTTTTCATCAGCTCGAGATTACCAAATATCTCGATATTTTAACTATCCCGATCGCAAATTATCCAGTTAATTTCCATCTACATCAGCACGAAGTTGCAATTATCGGGATATTTGGTCGAGATAATCATCCCATGATATATTGGGCTAGTTTGCAAAATATCTCGCTATTTGTCTGGTGCGTCTTGACCAGGCCGAAGACTCGCACTATGCGCGAACGTTGAGCAAAGTATCTCGAGCTAATTTCTCGAGCTCGAGTTCAAGTTTCGAGGTCGAGTCTCGAGCTGATGAAGACGCGATTTGTATTAAACTTCGGGATTATTTCTCAAATCAGAAATAGCAGGCTATTTGGCAATCTCGAGCTGATGGGGACATATCTAGCGATGCTGTAGACATATCTAGCGATGCTGTCTTTGGGTGGTCAAACTGGACATCCTTTGTGAAAGTGAGACGATCGAGGCTTACGTAGAAAAGCGTTAGCTTCACAGAAATGTATCATCCGAACTGTTATATGATATTAGGAACAGTTCGATATCGAGAACAATAGGCCTGCTATACAATCATGTAAGGGCTTATATCGGGAAATGAAAAAGAGATAACCCTGCCTGTACCCAGGCCAATAAAATTTAACGTGTGTACGTAACATGGGTGATCCAGATTTCATAGTAGATCAGTTGTCTACTGTAGAAATCTCGTCCTGCATGTTTCCTCCTCATACACAAATACGTATATGCTTTGCACACGTACCAGCAATGAAATTTGTGGTTGATTGCTATTAAACTTTCCATTTTTTCTTTTCTTTTATTATGTCTTTAAAAAAGGAAAAAGGATTCTATTATTTTAGTGATTTCAGTGATCAATGAATATGCCTGCTTTTTTCAAAAATTATTTACATGTGCAATTTTACGAAAATCCCCCCAAATTGAAAAAAATATTTTAAAAATCCGCGCTCTTCCTCTCTTTCTCTTTCTCTTTCTCTCTCTCTCTCTCTCTCTCTCTCTCTCTCTCTTCTCTATTCTCTCTCTCTCTCTCTCTCTCTCTCTGCTTGTTTCTCTCTCCCCCTCTCTACCCTACAATCACTTTCTCTTTAATCATTTTCTCTCTTCTCTACCCATGTCTCTTTGTCCATCTTTTCTCTTTCCCTCTTCCCCCCTCTTATATTTCCCTCTCCACATCATCAGTACTATCTCCCCCTCTCCCCTCTCCCCTTCTCTCCCCTCTCCTTCTCTCTCTCCCTCTCTCTCTCTCTCTCTCTCTCTCTCCCTCTCTCTCTCTCTATCTCTCTCTCTTTAATCCTTTTCTCTCTCCCTCCTCTATCAATCTGTCTCTCTCTCTTCGTTCATCTTTTCTCTATCCCTCTCCCCTCTAATATTTCCCTCTCTTTCCTCATCACTAGTATTTTCCCCCATCTCTACCCACACCCCTCCCCCCCTCCTCTCTCTCTCTCTCTTTGATATTTTTCTCCTTCCTCTGTCCATCTTTCTTTCTCTCTCTCTCTCTCTTTATTCATCTTTTCTCTATCCCTCTCCCCCTCTAATATATCCTTCTCTTCCCTCATCACTAGTATTTTCACATCTCCCCCATCCCCCACCCCTTCTCTCTCCCTCTCTCTCTCTCTGTCTCTGTCTCTCTCTCTCTCTCCACCTCTCTCTCTCTCTCTCTCTCTCTCTCTCTCTCCATCTCTCTCTCTCTCTCTCTCTTTGTTCATCTTTTATCTATCCCTTTCCCCCTCTTATATTTCCTCCTCTTCCCTCATCACCAGTATTTCCCCCCCCCCCAGTTCTCCCACCCCCCCCCCCCCCCTCCCCACACCCCTCTCTTTCTCTCTCTTTCTCTCCATCTCTCTCTCTTCGTTCATCTTTTATCTTTCCCTTTCCCCCTCTAATATTTCCTCCTCTTCCCTCATCACCAGTATTTCCCCCAGTTCTCCCCATCTCCACCCTCCCACACCCCCCCTCTCTCTCTCTCCCCATACTCCACCCTTTCTCTCTCTCTCCCTCCCACACCCTCTCCATCTCTCTCTCTCTCTCTTTCTATCTCCCTCTTTCTCTAATTAAAAGAGGAATTATTAGAACAGTGAAAGCGAATGTTTTTTCCACTGAATTAGGTAAAGAGTTTGAAGGTGTTTGATACGTTTTTATGTTGTAAGGACGACGAAACTACCAGAAAATATCAGCGTCTGACACAATGTTATATGAATTACAAGACACTTAAACAAAAACAAAAGTGAATGGAAAGTATGAAGAAGAAAAAAAGCGATGGAAAAGAGGTTTTAGGAAAGAAAACGGAGGAGAAAGAGTGAAGAACAAACAACAAGGAAAGTTGTAATTTACAGTCTTTTGAATACTGTGGGAAAAAGAAAGAGACAAACGGAGCAGGAAACAAAATGTAGCTTACTCCCTAACTTTGTTACTGGTCGCGTGTTCGTCTGTTACGTAACAGAAATGAGGGTTATATAGATGTACAACTCGATGATGGAACAAAGCATGCTCCATATGCTCATCCATCTCAATTTCAAACAAACGGCCCCCGCCCTCAATTTTGTTTGTGATCACTAAGTCTTCTAAAGATAGTTACAAAACGGATATTGTGAATAAAAAAACATTACAAGAAAGGCTTCACAATATTACAATGAATATATAACTAATTATAACGACTACTTTATATCAGCATCGTGTATGGTACTTTTTGTTTTCATTTGTCAAGCACTTTTTGATTGAACATTTTCAAAGTAATTTCTTCCCATTTTAAGCCTTCTTATCATTATTTTTCCTTTTTTTCCCCTTCTTTTATGTTTTCCCCCTTCTCTATTTTCCCCCCTCCTCCTCCTTCTTCTTCCTTTTCTTCTCCTAAACATTATTTTTCTTTCTCCTCTTCGTCCTTCCTCGGCTTCCTCTTTATTTCAGTTCCTCCTTTTTCTTGTTTTAATTATTATCATTATCATCATTATTATCATTATTATTATCATTATTATTATTATTATCATTATTATTATCATTATTATTATTATTATCATTATTATTATCATTATTATAATTATTGCTAATATGATTATTATTATTATTATTATTATTATCATTATCTTTATTATTATCATTATTATAATTATCATTATTACCATTACTTCCCTTACATTCTCCTCATCTTCACTTTTTGTTCTTCTCCTCTTGTCCCCCCCCCCCCCCCTCTTCCTCCTCCTTCCCGTCTTCTCCTTCTGTATTGGTTGTTTACTAACATCCTTCTTCTCCTTCTTCCTCTTTCTTTGCAGGTGGTGATACAGCTAGTGTGATCATAACATTGACCGATGGAAAACTCAATGACGTTCCTGAATCTGTTGCAGAGGTATACTTAGGCTATGGGTTAGGTAGGGTTAGGGTTATACAATCCCTAAACATGGGTCCCATTTTCAACAAAAATATCCCTAAGTATGGGTCCGCTTTTTCAAAATTTCAAAATTTTTCGTGTGTTTGCATGGCAAACATCTATTCTCCATAGTTTAAAATGGCACACCCCCGTCCAAACCAAATCTGAATACCCCCCCCCCCCCCGGTTAGGGTAAGAGCGCTTGTACTAGCGCTAATATTAGTTGGATGATGTTCTAGTTGGATCGTAATGCCCCCCCCCCCCTCAAAAAATCCTTTATTAGGCATATATCATTTTGTCTTGTTTGCAGGCAAATATCGTTCGAAATTTAGGGGCGTCTGTACTTGCTGTGCGTGTTGGAGATAGCAATACCATAGACTTGATCAACGTCGCCGATAAACCTACATCGCAACACATCTTCCGAGGCGACACATTCAACGATCTCGACAGTATTATTGACCAGGTCAGATTTAATTTTTTTTTTCTTTTTTTTTTTTCTTAATTTCAATTCTTCCCAGCTCATTTCAAATTCAAATCAACATTCAATTTGGTCAGATTAAACACAAATCAACAGCTTACATAGATAAAACGATTGCAAGGACTTTCGAAAAATCTACTTTATGCTAATTTTATTGCCCTAGATTGTATTCATGCCTGTGGAAATCACGATCGGAAGGCACATTTTAATACATGACGCACAGCGCTACTAAAGTAAAAGTGCTAAAATCACCTCACAATTGCATGATTTGAGATATACATCTAACATTATATCTATCTTAGTGTACTGTTCCAAAGAATTTTGATAACTATCTCGTCACAGATGAATAGTTGTCAGGATTTTGTATGTATACGTCGGATGTGGCAATTAGTTATGTCATTAAAACATAAGTATGATAATAATGTTGTTTCTGATTTATCAATAGATTGTCAATACATCTTGTGTCGAAATCTTGTCTGCACATCCAACCGAAGTCTGTACAGGAGGTATGATGTGTTTTGAAATAATGAATGAACCCCTTTCAGTTTGTTCTACCATGGACCTATTACGGATGGACATTCATCGTTTTCTTAACGAATTCATTGTGATTGTATCCGTCTTACAGAGCACACCATCCAAACAAAACCCAAGAGAGGGAAACTGCTCCTTTGTCAATGACCGAAAATGCTTACACAGTCGTTATTGTTAAAACAGCTGAATGTTCTCATTAAGATGCACATAATCAGAAGGCGGCGACTATCATTGGATCAAAGACAGAATCACGTTGAATGTCCATCCGTAATAGGTCCATGGTTCTACCTGTACTTTCAGAGGGCAATCAACTATTACATCACTTTGAACATCGCACTGATACTAGTTCTGATACTGGCCATGAAACTAGCACTGATACTGGCCATGATACTAGTACTGATACTAGCACTGATACTAGCACTGATACTAGCACTGATACTCGTATTTACGTTTGTACTATAGTCATGGTTTCATCAACAGTTAAATTTTGCACTTCCCCTTTTTTTTCTTCAAATTTTTGAAATGTTTTGAAGCAGGGGGCGTATCCCTGATTCGATTTTTTTTTGGTTAAAGTAGGAGGTCACAAATTCCTAAACATCTCTAACAGGCAAAGGAGAAGAAATTTTTGTTACATCTAAACTTTTTTAAGCTCAAAAAATTGTTACAAGCATGAAACAAGAAAGGTGGTCATATTTTCAGGTGTCTTTTTGGGGGGCGAAAATCTGAAGGGTTATTATTAAGGTGTACTACATCATCATCGAGGCGCGGATCCACGGGAGGGGGGGGGGGGCTGACGGGCCTGGCCGCCCCCTGACCCCCCCCCCCCAAACAAGTATTTTTTAAAAATCTCACGAATTGGGCATAAAAGAGAGTGCTCTTACCCCCCCCCCCCCGGCCCCCGCTTATTTACCGGCTGGCTGAGACGCCGCTTAATATTCCCTCCAAAATTGGACCCCGAATAAAGAGTTAAAAAGTGGTCTTACCACCCCCCCTCCCCCTCCCCTGTAACTTCACCGGTTAATAAGATGCACTGTCGTCATGAAATGTGTTTGCTTAGTTATTTATTTATGTAGTTATGTCTTATTCATTTGTTCATCTAAGTTTTCTTATTTGTGTTAATTTATTGATTTATTGATGATTGATTCATTCATTCATGTATTTAATCATTTATTTAGACTTGTATTTGTTTATGTATTTGTTCATTTATTATCATTATTTGGGTTTTTTTCTACGCAGAAACCTTCAATGTTACGATAAGAGGGAATGGGTTTGCTAAAACAAACGATGTCTCCCAAGTACTCTGCAATTTTCGGCTGAATGATACGGATAACCAAGGTGAGAATATGTCATTGATTCCTTTTTTCCAATAAAGGCCGGATTTTCTGTTTTCCTTTAGCCAGAAATTCTGCCCTCATTTGAATATAGGTCGTGGAATGACGACAAATTTTGAAGCTTTACATATAACAATAATACTTATGATAATAATACTACTACTACATTTTACTTCTGATAATGATGATGATTATGATGAAGATGATAATGATGATGATGATGATGATGATGATGATAATAATAATCAACGTGATGATAATGATGATGATGATGATGATGATGATGATGATAATAATGAACGTGATAATGATGATGATGATGATGTTAATAATGATAATAATAATAATAATAATAATAATAATTAACTAGAATTTAATTCGTCACGAGGACGAATAAGGTGGTCTGCCTTCAAGTTATATAGACATGTAAACAATGATGACCATGATGATGATCATGATGATGATGATCTTGATAGTAATGGTGATGACGATGATGATGATGATCATGATCATCATGATGATGTTGATGATCATCATCAACAGACCATGATGACATCTGATTGAAAAAAATGAGGGGACACTTTTAGATAGCATATAGTCTCAGCTACAACATACTCCAAAATCAACAAAAACCAAGCGGAAATAACGGCGATATTGCTCGTAAAAGAGAGGAATGTAGAATCCAGATTTGAGAAAAAGCCATCTCCCATAGGGACTACACGCAAAAAGTAATGGATCAAGTGATAATAGGGGATAATAAAGTAAATATGGTTGTTTATTACATTATTTGCGATTGTACGTGTTTTAATATTCAAAGGAGATGGTACAGTGAAAGGTCAAAAAGAAAAAAAAGTGAAGAAAACAAATTGTTGGAGACACCCGGACTCGAACCAGGGACCTCGAGGTCGGAAGTCAAGTGCGTTACCGATATACCAAAACATTTCCCATAGCGATTACACGTAAACGGAAAATAAAATTCTCAAATCCCACTTTGCAAGTGAAATATGAGCATGATCCCGGCATCTGATCGAGAAATAAATGTCACATTTGTGATAGCTTATTGTCTCAGCTACAACATACTCGATGCTCAGCGAAAACAAAGCTAAGACGACGGAGATATTGCTCGTGAAAGACGGGAATGTAGAATCCAGTTTTCAGAAAAAGTCATGTCCCATAGAGAATACACGCAAAATGTAAACAATTGACATGCCTCCTTTAATCGCAAAAATACGCCATGATGCTTTCGTCAAAATGAAAATTTGTGGATACTGCATCTGTAGAGAATTGTCTCAGCTAAAACATATCAAAATTTGGATGAAAATTGATCAATATTTACAGAGATACAATCAATTTTCTAAAAATATGATGACGTCATAATATGCAAATTGAAATTTTGAGTTCGGAGGCCATTATGATGACGTCATGAGTTAATTGAGGGTCAAATGAGACATGAACTCATATTTCCGACTCATACTTTATCAAGATATGAAAACAAAATTGGGCTCATCTTGCATCCTAAAGAGCTACAATGGATTTTGTATAGGCATGTTTTTGCCCATATATGCTATGTATTACAAGAGCTCGCACGCACGGACATTTACCTTGAACGGAGGCCATCATGATGACGTCATGAGTTAATTGAGTGTTTGAACGGACTTTACCTTGAACGGACGCTCATTTCGTTATTATTGGTCATAAAGAGATAAACATGGTATCAAATTGTTCGAAATAAAATGGGCAATACTATGATAGACAAAAAAAAAGGAGATTCTAGGTTGCGTACGACCATTACGAACACAAACGTGCGCGCAAACGGAAAATGGAATTCTCAAATCCCACTTTGTAGGTGAAATATGAGCATGATCCCGGCATCTGATCGCAAAATAAAGGGCACACTTGTGATAGCTTGTTGTCTCAGCTACAACATACTCAAAGCTCAGCGTAAACGAAGATAAAACGACGGAGATATTGCTCGCGAAAGACGAGAATGTAGAATCCAGTTTTGAGAAAAAGTCATGTCCCATAGAGAATACACGCAAAATGTGAAAAATTGACATGCCTCCTTTAATCGCAAAAATACGCCATGATACCATTGTCAAAATGAAATATAATGTAGACTGCATTTGTAGAGAATATTCTCAGGTAGAACATATCAAAATTTGAAAGAAAATTAATCAATATTTACAGAGATACAATCAATTTTCTAAAAATCTGCTGACGTCATAATATGCAAATTGAAATTTTGAGTTCGGAGGCCATTATAATGACGTCATGAGTTAATTGAGGGTCAAATGAGACATGAAATCATATCTCAAACTCATAATCTATTTAAATATGAAAGAAATTGGGGGGTATCTATCCATTCTGAAGAGTTAAAATGAATTTTGTATAGGCATGTTTTTGCCCATGTATTGTGGATACAGATAGCGCAGGTCGGCGCGTGCGTCAACTTTGACAGCCGCTAATTGCGTTATTACTGGTCGGAAAAAGGTAAACAAGGTATCAAAATGCTTGGAAAAATGTAATAAATATGATAACAGAAAAAATTTGGCGATTCTATGTTGCAAAATGCCAGGACGCGCGAATACGCGCGTAAACGCGCGCGCATAATTACGCGCGCGCAAATTTTAAAAATGCTTAAAATGGCCTGAAACGTATGCAAAATTAATTTTAAACGAATCGGAGCATTATGAAATTTTGATGCGTGCGTACGTGCGCGTAGAGGTGCGCGCGCGGAATTTGTTAACATTTTTAGTTGACCTTTGACCTGAAGTTGATGTATACCAAATATGGTTTATTTTTGATGACTCGTTATCGAGATATGATAATGACCTGATTTTTACAAAATGGCGCCTGGATGACGTCACGATGACCCCATGAACTTGAAAAAGGTTTTAGGAACTTGATATTATAGGGCTTGATGACTGACAGAAATTTGAAGGAAATTGACCATGTCAATTCATAGTAAACGTGTGCACAAAAAAGTGTACGGAAGAAATAAAAATAAAGAAAGAAAGAAAGAAAGAAAATTCTAGCGAAATCAATAGGTGATCTGTCGTTGACAGACCACCTAATAATGATAATAATATATAAGATTTGTATTAGGCGCCAAATCCACTTGCACTTAAATGCCCAAAGCGCACTTCTGCAAAAAAAAAAGCGGGAGGACAAGAAAAGAGCTTCTACATGTACAAATGAATAGACCCTTGGAGTTCCATATGCAAATCTCAAACATATTTTGAATTATCGCTAATTAATTATTCATATCATGTTCCCCGATTAATTATCCATTATCAATTATTGGCTGTTTTTATCGCTTTGGGACAACTGAAGATTCAAATTTTAAAATTTGGTTTCAAAAGATCCACGTCACTCTCAGTGAAGTTTCTGTGCAAACGTAGACGAACACTGTAGGGTTAACAGCTACATGTATTTCATTCAATTATGAATGATAATGAGGTGCATTTGAAATTTTAAGTAAATTATGTTGAATATGCTTTCTGGATCTTCCCCGCTTAATCTTTAAGATATTATCTTTTGTTTCATATCTTTGTTCTTGTTGTAGAGGTTCGACCGTATTTAGTGACCGACAGTGAATTGGTATGCGCAGCTCCACAAATAGAACAAGATGGAGAGTAAGTAATGGAAGTGATGATGATGGTCATGATGACGATAATGATGTTGATGATGATGTCGGTGATGATAATGATCATGATGACGATAATGATTTTGATGATGATGTCCGTGATGATAATGATCATGATGACGATGATGATGTTGATGATGATGTCCGTGATGATAACGATCATGATGACGATAATGATGTTAATGATGATGTCGGTGATGATAATGATTATGAAGATTAGTATAGTGATGATGATGGTGACTATGGTGGTGATGAGGATGTTTAGGGTGATGTTGATTATGGTGATGATGATAGTAATGATGATGATGACGGTGATGATGATGATGATGATGATGATGATGTTTAAGTAATGAATAATTCATGCGTTTACATTACTTTGATGACTCTCTTTTTAATTATATTTTTTCTTAATTCGAATGTTTGAGCAACTTCTTTTATTATATTTTTATAATAGTCAAATGTTAAAAGACGCAATGGTCTGATATTCAAGTTAAAGATTATTTAGTTACCTTAATTGATTACCGTATTGTTTTGCATTAGGATGATTTCTCTTTATATAACGATGTTTTCCAAAATGGATATGTACCTGTATTAGTTTTTAGTGTAAACTGAATATAATTCAGTCTATACGGGCTGCCACCTTCAGTATTTGTAATACACCATTCAATCAATCGATCAAACAATCAATCAATCAATCAATTAAAGCTAGTGCATATAGTTTCTTGGCTATACAGAATTGTCCCATAATATCGAAAATAATATCAGAGATTTAAAGATCTACTTTTAATAGATCTTTTTTCGTAATTACCATTTTGTTGTAGCTTTGTGGTGCTTCAAGTGTCTGTGAACGGGAAGACTTTTATATCGAGTAATTTAACCATTACTGGTACATCTTGCACACCGGTAAGTCTATTATATTCTCCCTCCGTTTTGTCCAGTGTCAGTTTAAAAAATATATATTTGTATCTGAATGCGACCGCAAAGACTTCCTTAACAATATTAAGGTGTGTTCACATTATAGCGCGGTAAATCACCGCGGTGTTTTTTTTTTACATGTACTTGAATGGCAACTGCTACATTCATGATCAACCTTTTCCAATCACCTCCACAAAGTTTCTTTTACAAAGCAATGCCCAGAATTTTATATATATATATATATATATATATATACATTTTTTTTTTTAAATTTACTTATTTATTTATTTATTATTATTATTATTATTTTTTTTTTGGAGGGGGGGGGTGGGGTGTTTTTCTTGAAACCATTGTGGCTTGAGGAACAAGAACGCTTGATGTACTTCTGTATGTACTTTGCATCGCACCTTTGTTTGATAAGAAATAAATAATTTAATCCATTGATTTCGCATAAAATTATTTTGCCAGTGCGTCACTCTTTTCTAAGTTTATACAGTTACTTTTCCTGGGCCCAGTCTTAAAAAGAGATTAATCGCAAATTATTTGCGATTGGTATCAATCACAACTGAGATAGGGGACAGCAAACTTGCGATCTATTGGAGGACTTGTGATTGATTTGGATCAATCGCAACTCATTAAAAGACAGGGCCCAAAAATTAATGTGTAAATGGGAATTCCCATCAACACAAGCATTTGCTTTCCGGTTATCGCCTAGCTCTTTGTGCTTTTGAATGTATTTACTGTACCAGGCGCGTAGCCAGGGGGGCGGTGGGGGCGGTCGCCCAAAAAAAACGCCGGCCAAAAAAACAAAAAAAAACAAAAAAAAAGAGAGAAAGAGAGAAAAAAAAGTAAGAGGACGAAAGAAGAAAAAGGGAAAAGGAGTCGAGAACGGTACGACGAATCGTCTTCTTTCTCTAATAATTTAATGAAATGTCAAAGCTTCCGAGCTTCGCGCGAAAAAGAGGACTGAATTCAGAAAAGGATTAAGAGTCGGGAAAGGTACAACGAATCGTCTTCTTTTTCTAATAATACATCAAAGCTTCCGCGCTATGCGCAGGAGGGGCGGACTGAATTCAGACAAGGATTATGAGTCGAGAAAGGTACAACGGATCGTCTTCTTTCAAACCTGTCCCCTCCCTGCACCCATCCCCTCCCTGCACCCATCCCCTAGGGAGCGCGCTTCGTAATTATATTTAAACGTCTTAGCTACGCGCTTGTACTGTATCGTCTATTTGTTTATTGTTTATCATATTTTCAATGAGGAGGAAATAAATGAAGAGCTCGGTTCCAAAAAGGTACTACATCCATTTTTATCAAAATTGATTTGTTAGCATTAACGTACACATTTCACAAAGCTGAATTTCCAAAAAAAGTAATCAGTTCGGTTCCAAAAGGTGCTAATTCAAGTCATGCATTGTAACTTGCATACAGTATGGAAGATTTTCGGTTCCAAAACGTACTTCATCCACAAAAATTGAAAAATTCATGAAAATCATTTGTGCAGACTAAGATCTTTTTAAAGAGCGGTTATATACTTAACTTGAATCATACAATAGTATAATCAGCAAAAGTACCATTCAAAACTGACATTGCTATTAAACTATGATGATTAAAACATCGTGTTTTTCTCAGAACTTGGATTGGATTTATGGATTTAGTACTTTTTGGAACCGAGCTCTCTCTTCAAATGGGAATTTCAATTCAATTTCATTGTTTATATTTTATGCCACTTTCTCTCCCTTTTGTTCCGTTTCCCTTCTGGATTACTACGATGATTATTGGTTGCATCAATAGCCTGATGTAATTGCTATCGTCCTGGGCTTATTCCTAGCGCTCCTCGCTCTTGGTCTGTTCCTCCTGTGGTGGTTCTGGCAGCTCCTTTGCTGTGTGGTAAGTCATAACGTCTTCTTTACATGCCATGTCCTGAGACGTTGGCGACCATGGAATGCCACACAACGCTGTGCCCCATATTCTATGAAGTAATTCATTCTCCCCTAGATAAATTCCACTTTCAGAAATCCCACTCCTTAATTAAGCTACTCATCCACAGACTCCTCCTTCTATACCCCTACTCCTCCTCCCCTCGATTCTTCCAGTCAGTGCAAGATTTCCCAAACCATTCTCTCGAATATCATGACCCAAGAAGCTCAGTTGTCGACCTCTGATATCATTCAGAAGCTTTCGTTTTGTTCCTGCCATGGCAAATACCTCATTGTTATATTCTATTTCTGTCCATACAATTTTTAGCATCCTTCCCATGCAGAAACCAAACTTTACCATTTTCCAGTCGCTTTCTTAGGTCTGATGTTAGGGTTCAACGTCATTTGCTGTATTTAGTTTGTTTGTTTGTTTGTTTGTTCATTTTTTCTTTACTTTTTAATTGTATGTATACAATACGATACGATAAAGTCATTTCTATAGCGCTCTTACAAACTTATTGTTGTTTCACAGCGCTTTACATAAAAATCATCGATGAATTTGTTGATCATGGTCTAAGAGGAGAGTTTTGAGACATTTTCGGAAGACATCCAGCGGAGGTGAAAGTCAAATAAAACGTGTAAGCTAATTCCAGAGTCGAGGTGCACATGCATGGAAAGCATTGTCGCCAGCTTTGGTGTATGTTCTTTTTAGTAAAGCGATTGAAAAACAGAAGACGACATAGCACATTACTTTTTGAAGAAGAAATAAATGCACTCTAAATAGCCTCGTACTATACGTACTACGTCACCTTTTGAAATATTACAGTAAAGCCGGGCTCCCACTTAGCCGAGTTGTATTAGCGAGTTATGGCGAGTTGTGGTGATTGTCTCAAAGAGGCACTCGCAATAACTCGCGAACAATTCGGTATGGCTTAGCGTAACTCTTTAAAACATTCCACGACTCTCCTCGAAGTCGCAAGCAGTTCCAGAAATGTGAACATGTTCAAAAAAATTCCCCGATTCGTTGTAATTCGAGGTGAACTCGCCTCCACTCGTATTATACTCGTAGCAACTAGCCACTTTATGAAGAGTGCAGCGCGAGCTTGTTACGAGTAATGCGAGTATATTAGTGAGTTCACCTCGAGTAACAGCGAATTCACCTCGAGTAACAACGAATCAGTGAAAATTTTAAACATGTTCAAAATTTTCGTTGATTCGGTTTAGCTCGAGGTGAACTTGCTAAACATTCGTAATATACTCGCATTACTCGTAACAAGCTCGCGCTGCACTCTTCATAACTCGCCACCTTATGAAGAGTGCAGCGGGAGCTTGTTACGAGTAATGCGTGTATATTAGTTTATAAAAATAAAAAAATAAAATAATATATTGTGTATACTGAAAGAATTCCAAAACTGTGGACCTTCATAATTATATAAAGTTTTTGTTTAGCTAAGAGGGTCCGCAAGAGAGATAAAGGTAAAATCGTCCGAATGTCAGAAGATTGAGTAGATTTTGAGTCTTTGTCGAAAAATAGAACCACTGGAGACGGAATTTGGTTCATGTTATGCTAAATCACACAGTCACGTTTATATGTAATAAAAATACATACTCAATTTTAGATGATTTATTATTTCCACTAAACTTGGGTAAATCGCGATTGTCAAGTTATATTATTTGGTCTACGTCACCCGAGCATGTCTAGGAATCGGCATTTGATTTTGAAATACATAGATGTTTGTGAAAGCAGTTATGGTTTCTGTGGAAGTATGGTATTATATACTCAATACAATGAGGAGAGGGGGGGGGGGGGAGGAAAAAGGGGTTATTTTAAAGAGTGATGAGAAAGAATAGAGATGCGAAAGAATAGCGATCACCACTGGGTTTTCAGACACACTGTAGACGGGTATACATTTCTCTGAGTCAGTACCACCACCAGTGCAATCTTCAAGTTTATTAGGTTTTTTTTATGCAGCTCTTTTGGTGATAGCTATACATTATTATAGTGCTGCTTATCATGCCTTATAATGGGCCGTAATAATTTAACCTGAACATAGATATGAGCAAAGAACTGAACTCTCATACATGTGTCGCAATGGAAAGGGCTACTTGGCGAGTATATTGTTCTTCACTCTTCAATATATATAATATAATAAAATTATATATAATATAACACTTTGTTCCAGGAAAAGATACATCTGTTTATAACCATGCATAGCGTGCAAAACGAGACCTGTGTGTGCTATACACATATACAAAGTGTACCCTTGCTCGAGAGTGGAACGCCGCTCGCACTCCACGCATAAGTCATTTCGTTGAATGCACGCACGCACAATACAAAAGGCAAAACTCTCAACGTCTGATGACGTCACGATTAGTCATTGACTAATCATGAATATTCATGAATAGACACACTCGGGTTTCTTCGCCAGTGCCTGCGGTGTACATAATTCCAATAAATTTCATTTTTTAAGTCTTGTTTAATTAAAAAGTAGCTTAAGACTTAATTATTATATAGATAATATTATTGGCAATCATGTCCTGGCATTTAAAAGTGATTTATTGCCAAAAAACTATATTATATGATGTTTTAATGATGAGGGTTGCTGTTATTGTAACTGTATTTTTTATGACAATACAATTGTACAAATTGATTAAGTTTAGCTCTTTGAAGCATACTTACCTGGCGCAGGGGTCGCATTGATCAAGAAGGATGCACCCCCAGGGCGAGGCTTGCCATTGCACTCCGGCTTGCTGAATCTTGCGATTCCCCCAAACGTGGGGAACTCGGGCGTATAATTTATGGTAGCGGAGATCTGCGTTCGCGCTATCTCCTACAATCTCAAATGAAAAGAAAGAACACGCTTAAACCTTGTACACTAGTTAACTATTTCTTTTTTTAACTTCCACGTCTTCAAGCTGCTCGCAACCCATTTAGTTACTATTGGATTTTCTTTAGGATGGCAAGCAAATCCCAAATAAATTCAAGAAATACATATAAATAATATATGTACACATACACAATTTCAGTTTGCATTCATTTTTTATTGTTTAGATTATTAACCTCCTTTTAGAGTAAGACAAAGATATTAACTTTTGCGTTGTTATACAATATTATTAATACAACTGACAAGTTTGTTTTATTTTTTATTGGGGGGAGGGGGGCAGAGTTAAAATTTATCAATCTAATCAAACCAATCATAATACCCATCATTTTATACACTTCTAAACCGTTTAATCTTTTTTCTATACAACTATGTATTTCTCAAATGCCCATTGATTATCATTTTTCAGGTTGTGGTGAAGCCGAAGCCCCCTCCTCCTTCCCCACCCCCATCCCCCAACTCTAAGAAGTGGCCTACAGTGGACGCTTCGTACTATGGAGGTGGCGGCATAGGAGGTATTAAGGCAGTCAGAGTAAGTTTCTACTTAATTTCTACCTTTTCATCTTTAACCTGCTGCCCCCCCCCCCCCCCACCCGTTGAACAAAACTTAACATTGATGGTAATTTTACCGTCAATGGTAACTACCATGGAAACTAAGTTTGATTTTGATTGGATGTTGTGCCCTGTTACCATGTTATTTGCCATTGATGGCAAAATTACCATCAATGGTAAGTTTAATGCAACGGCGGGGCCCAAACTCAACAATATATTCTTTCTTTCCAATTTCTCCTTCTTCATCCTCTTTCGTTTTCTTCTGAAATGTATCCCTTACATTTCCATTCGTTCTTATTTTCATCTTTTCTTCTCATTCATCATCTTCATGATCTTTTACCGCTTTTTGTCATTTTATTTTCCTTTTCTATTTGCCTTTTCTTTCATCTTTCGTATAATTCATATTATAGGTTATCTTCATTTTCATCTTCTTCTTCATTTTCCTTCGACACTTTATACTGTCCTCTAAAATAAAATGAAACTCAAAACTCACTTCTTCTGTGAATAACATAATATTGTAAAGGACATGTGAACATGTAAGTGGAAATACATTATAATGTTTTTAATTACTATTATAATTATCATTATTATTATTATTATTATTATTTGTATTGTTGGTGTTGTTATTGTTATCATTATTATTGTTATTATTAGTAGTAGTGGTAGTGGTAGTGGTAGTGGTAGTAGTAGTAGGAGTAGTAGTAGTAGTAGTAGTAGTAGTAGTAGTAGTAGCAGTAGTAGTAGTAGTAGTAGTAGTAATAGTAATAGTAGCAGTAGTAGCAGTAGTATAGTTATCGCTATTATTAGTAGTAGTATTATTACACTGTATTATTCTTATTACATCATCACAGGTGAACTGGGGTGAGAATGGATGCACGGAGGCAGGGTCCCATCTTGAGAAAGCTAAAAATGCCAAGACCCTAGCGATTAACGAGGAATCAGATGGCCAACTCTTGGGATCAAACGGAATGAGCATGTCATGCCTTGAGGCACTCAAGGTAATTTACTTCTACAGTGAAACCTGTCCATAAAGACCACCCAGGGGAGACAAAAAAAGTGGTCTTTATTGGCAGGTGCATGGTCTTTATGTACAGGTTCCTTTAGTACATGTTTCAATGAGAAACCATTTTCAAGATAACAAAAACAGGCGATTCAGTCTGATTTACTCCTACGGTGAAACCTGTCCATAAAGACCACCCAAGGGAGACAAGAAAAGTGGTCTTTATTGGCAGGTGCATGGTCTTTATGTACAGGTTCCTTTAGTACATGTTTCAATGAGAAACCATTTACAAGGGAAACGGAAATTGTGGTCTCTGTAGACAGGTTATTTCTTGTCATGCGATCTTTTTCTAAAGTTACTCATTAAAACATAATCATGATAATAAAAAAATTATATAATTAATGCATTATCTATGCAAAATACTGACAATGTAATACCAACATAAAATAATCAGGAAGAAAGATTGCCACATTTAAGCTTGGGGGAGGGGTAATCCTTTATAAAACTTAATAATTCCTATATACAAAAATGATGTTTGGGATGGGAATGAATAAGAAGCTGACAGGTGATTGGTAAAAAAAACAATTACCGGTAAAGGGAAATACAACCTTACTAGCAAATTGCCTTAGGAGAATGCTGATAATTCAGAGAAAGAACAAGCTAGATAAAGATTGAATGAAAAATAACTAGACAAACAATAAGAAAGTTATGAATTTCTGAAAGTTGGAATTCCTACAATTTCAAGTAGGCTGAAATGGTAATGTCACTCTGATGTCGTGTTGGACAAATCTGGCTTGTGGCTTGTGCAGTAGAAGACACATGAACAATGTATAATGATTACAAAAATAATGACAGTGATATTGTAAGGTGCCAAATCCAATTGAAATAAATGCCTAGCCTAAAGCAAAAATGATTAGCGGAAGGCCACAAAGGAAGTACAGTTTTTGAAATTACATTCTTTTCACAGACTCCTCCCCCCCCCCCCAAAAAAAAAAATAATAATAATTGTAGATACATTTTAATTCTGTTCTTAATAAACATGCAATCTGCCTAAAAGCTTTAAGGGAAGCATTTTTGAAAGGGGGGGGGGGGGTTGTTAAAGTAAATATAATAATGATAATACAGTTGTTTTATTTTATAACAAAATTTCATGAAGCAGATACAATGTACCTGTACAAACATGTATACTGTACATAACAATGCCATGTACTCTGAAATCCCCTTCTATTTAAAATGAAGTCTATAATGTTATTCACAGCGAACATGAAACTGACAATAACCATTCAAAAAATTTATTTGCCTTGTCTTTGATTTTTAGAAATGTTTTGCTCCAGTGAAAGCATTCTATGACAGAATTGCCGTCTCGAGACCTGCACCTGGACAGAAGGTAAGTGCATTTTGTTTAAAGGGATTGGGTATCTTTGCCTCAGATTCTAAACAAAATCCTGGATTTATCTCGAGCTGCAATTATAATCTTAAACCTTTAGGTCAGTCAGGAATCCAATTACTTTTACAAACCGATCGCCTATCTGATTATCAAGATACTCATGATTGGAATCCAAAATTTACAGCCTATTGGAGAAAATGAGTATGGTAACCCAGTCACTCAAAGATTGTTATACCTTTTTGAGGCACTTCATGGTCATTTTGAATCACAATTTTGTTAGGGCTTTAATATTACACTAGATCACAGACACTGATAACACGCAGGACCATGCATCTCAGATTTGTAAAACTGGAAACATTGTCAAACAATGCCTTTAAAAAGGAAAGGAAAAGAAGAACATGATAAGGATAATGGGCCCTTTTTTATCCAACGTAGCCTCATATGATTACCTCCATTAAAAAAGGACTAGACAATTAGACTAGACAGTTAGTGGTGATACAAAGTGGGTTGTGTGATTATAAAATCCCAGATGCGGAGGGTCAATCTGCTTTTACATTTCTTCTGTTTCTTTGTCTTCATCTAAGGACTTTTAGTATCCAAGCAAAAACAATAAAATCTAGGAATTTTTAAAGATAAAATCATTATTGTTTGTATAAAAGTGTTAGTACAGGACAGATTTTTTATGCCTGACTCATTGAAATTGCTGGAAATGTTGGATAAAGAAGCATTGACAAATTACACATTGTAATTTGAATTCGAATTTGGGACCCCCCCCCCCCCCCCCCCCCCCCCCCCCTCTCGAAGGTGATCTGTCTGATAAGTTTTCTGGAGTTTATAATTCACCGAAACTACATGGTAGACACTGATGGAAATAAATCCATTGGGCCGAAATTTGCTTTAAAAGATTAGAAGTCTAATTCAAGAGAGGGAAAAAACATACTTGACCGGCCCAGTGGATGGTCTACACTCACTGTGCGTCAGATACATTAGTCTGACCTGATAAATAAATCAGATCTGCTGGATATACAAAGCCACATTCTGAGCCCTGTTTCACAAAACTTGTCATCAGTAACAAATGACAGTCTTTGTTATAAGCTACTGAAATCCTTGCTTCTGATTGGTTATCAGCAGATTTGTCAATGATTTTTGTCATTTGTCATTGAAAAAAGGCTTTGTGAAATGGGTCCCAGGTCTGAAGAAAAGTGAAGATGCATAAAGATAAATTATTCTAACAAATTCATGATATTTACATCGGATGCAAATTCCAGTTTCCGATGGAGTGTTTTAATATCTAAATCAATTGACCAGACATTTTGTATTTTTTCCTTCCTAGGGCTACTGCTGTTCAGTCCAGCGCTAAAGGCCATGATCATGAAACCTCAAGTCTGGAGACTCGTGAGACGCAATCGTCATGGATCAAACAACTTTGCAATACTTGGATACATTCACAATTTCATGCTGTACATATTCTTTAAATTTTGTGAAAATTACCAAATAGCCCTTTTTATCAGAAAAATCATTCCCAAGTAGGAGCTATGGATTGCATGTACCTTGATTCTAAACAAGCAACAACAAGACCGCCGGAACTTTATGTAATGTTCTGTTGGAAAACGAAATGCTATTACCGGTAATGACAAAAGTGTTGGTAACAATTAGCTGTCAATCAGTTTTAAAGTTTTTTGGAATACTCATTGCACAGTTTACCACTTCGCTAGTTAATTTTTAGAAGTAGTTTTGTGATCTTTTTAAAAATTCATTAAGTATTTATGTATCTGCTGAAAATTTCATTAGAATATAAAATATCATAATTATAGAAACTTAGTTCTAGACATGCTCGTCTAATATGCTCTTGATGCTTGTAAACATTCAATTTTTTGTCAAAAAGTGATTATTTTCTTGTACATATGAAGATTAATAGTGTAAATACTTTGTAAATGTTGGAATTACTTTGCCAAGTAGGTTTTATTGCTATCATACATGTTTAACATTCATTTATATTAATAGAGTTAAAATTTATATGAAGTTCTGTACGGACGTTCATTCATTGTCAATGAAAATGTCTTTAAAAAATAGTTTCACAAAATATAATTCATTAGCCTTGCTTTCAATGTAAAATTAGTCTTTTGGAACTCGCAACATTTACAGTTAAGCTAAGGATCAAGAAATTTACATTTTGACACCTGTAAATTGAATATGCCCAAATAATTTCATGGGGTTTTCAAGACATGTTGCTGTGAACAAATGTATAGTTTAACAAAAGCAGATTAAAGAATTATAAAACTTCCTTTAAGTAGATTTTGAGCTCATAATACGCATATTAATCTACGTGTATATTGTACGATGCAAATTTATATTTCTTTGGAATAGTTTATGATGTCCACCAGACGGTTCAAATATTAGCTAGTAAAATACTTACTGTATGCTTAAATTAAAAAGGTAAAAAAAAAAAATCGATTTGCATTGATGTAAAATAAATTTTAAAAAATGGTAATCTAAGATATATTTATTATGCTCATGTCACATGACCTGTACTAAATACATTTGAAATTGGTGAAGGTATACCATTTCCAATTAGACGCACTTTTCAAATGGTCTAGGTATAAGTTTTATATTACAGTTTAATTTCAATAAGGAAATTAAGAACACGCAGAAAAGGCATAAAGTTCCTGAAGGAAAAAAAAATGAAATAGTTTTTGTACGCATACATCAAGTTCCTTGGCACATATCACATAAATATTTTGTACACAAATCAAAACGTTTGCTACAGTCTTTTTTCAGTTTGAGAAGCAAATTTAGAAAAAAAGAAAGATTTAGGAGTGTCAGAGGGTTGAATGAGAGAGAGATGTTGTCGAGTGAAAAGGGGAAATAGAATGCAAGCGAGTGAGAAACACTTACAATATTGTAAAAAAACCATATTATGTTCATGAAAATGTATGATGCAGAAACCAATAAATCAAAATCAAATCAAAATCAAATAAAAAACACACAGATAAAGATAAAATGTCCTTTGACAAGCCATTAATCTACATTTGCAACTCTCCACCCAGGTGAGGTAAATAGGTACCTTGCATGAATTCATTCCTTGAAATGCTAGAGCACCGTAATTGCAGCCATGCTAAAGCCGCGTTTCAATATTGTGGAGTAAGTGCCGCGAGTGTGAAGTCTGACGGGCATGAGCAATATACACGAGACCACTATTCTGTGAAATAACTCCATGTACATGGATATTATTGTTCTTAAAGGGAAAGTCCACCCCCAAAATAAGTTTGTTTCGATAGAGGCAGAATAATAAGAAAATCAGGTGAGTGAAAGTTTGAGCAAATTCTGAATGAAAATAAGAAAGTTATGAATTATTGAAGTTGTGATCAACAAATACAAATTGGCAACTCTGTGACTTATTATACGAGCTCTCCTTCATTTGCTTTGTGCATAATATTCCATAAAATCATGTTCTTCGTTATTGATGACGGAATATATATTTGTTCCTTGCAGGGGGAGTATAGAAACATATTTGCAATCATTATATTTAGGGTGCATGTATGGTTGAAATTTTTCTTGAGGGAAAATGAAAATTTTAGATTTTTTTAGTACTGAGCAAATGGAAGTTGAGCTCGCATGATACGTCATAGAGTTGCCAATTTGTGTTTGATTGATCACAACTTCAATAATTCATAACTTTCTTATTTTCATTCAGAATTTGCTCAAACTTTCACTCACCTGATTTTCTTATTATTCTGCCTCTATCGAAACAAACTTATTTTTGGGGTGGACTTTCCCTTTAACCTTTTCTTTTTTTCATAAGGGATTAATTACTCACTACAAATTAAATGAAGCTCTCAAAGTCGACAACAACAAAATCACACAGAGCATTATCTTGGATTAGTAATAGTTTAATGAAAGCAGATAGACTTATGCATTGTTTGCAACTGATATAGGTTAGCCTGCCATGCACTACAAATGAGGTGAAATCCTCTTTATATTCTTTACTTCTGGACACACAACTTTTGAAGATTTGCACGATCGATAAAATTCATTAAAAAAAACCCTGAATTTTCATGAATAATTCATCAATAATGAAAGCATATAGCTGTTAATCAATATCTCTCAAGTTTAAATGCTGGTTAACATCCTCAATACAGTACAATTCAAACTGATTTATTACCATTTCGAAATAGGTCACAATATATTCCTCAGTTATCATGATACATTTCAATGTGCTATTAAAATGAATAATCAACCTGCTGGGTAGATTACATTAAAATGGCGTCCAAATTGGCTTTTTCTAATATTTTAAATCTCCTATTTATACATGACCATGTAAAAGTGGCATTTGGCACACCGCGAAAATACTGAAAAGCTTTTCCTCTGATTAAGTACGCATCTGACAATGTACTATAACATGGAAAATACATGTACATATGGGTAAAGTTCATGGTGTTCAAAATACATTGCAGGATGCATTCACAATTTTGGGGGGCATCAGTGGAATACGGTAATGATCATAACAAATTTTGAATGTTTCGCAAGATACTTCCAGAATCAAAGCTTAGTTTGTAAACTATTCTAGACAAATCATTGATAAGTGATGACACTCCCCCACATATTTTAAAAAAGGAAAAGAAAAACTAAATTCAGTTATCCTGAAATGATATTTGAGTGGAGGGTGGTGGTATAGGAATGATGTGTAGACACATTTCATAAAACTAGAAAAATAAAGGCACTTAGTCCAATTTTGAAAAAATAAAAGACTTGTTATACAACCATACAAACACCACTGAGAGAATATTCACAACCAATCATTCATTTGTTTCAAACGTGTAGTGAAATCGCCCTTTTGGTTTCTTGGAAATACTTGAAATCGCGTTTACAAATGACAGATTTTACAGCAACATATTCGCCTATTTTAACTTCCTTCCAATTATCTCATGAAAACTAGCATTTTTTACTTAAAGGGACAGTTGAGTTCTTGTTTAAGACAACAAATTATGCCTTCAAAGTGCATGGTTATTGATCTTATTCTTATTTATGACACTTGCAGTGCCCCTTTAGAAACTAAAATTGCTTACGAAGGTCATTTTAGACCCCAAAATGTGTGAAATTTAGAGTAAATCTGATCGTACCAATTCAGATATACTTTACAAAAAAAAATATGGTGACCGTTAATTTAATTTAATGATGATATTACAACCAACAACCAAAAGTTTTTCATTATCTCACAAAAAAAATTATTGTATGTAGCACCCTCTATACCAAAACTCAACTATCCCTTTAGACCTAATTGCAATACACATACATTACCTAAAAAGAATACACAAAAATACAAGAAATAATGAAGCTCTGTAGACAAAGAAATTGTTTTACAATTTTTTTTTTTCTTCCTTGCCTTTCGGGCTCTGTCGTATCATGGAAAGAATAATATTTACCTTGAAAGAATAATATTTACCAAATTTGTTATTGTAAACAAAAATGCCTACCAGAGCACAGACTCCTTGCTACATGTAATATTTTTATTCAAAGCCCTAAACTGACAGTTTAACATGACAGTTACAATGTAGAAGTAACTAATCCATTTCTGTAGCTCAAATTGATTGACCATGGAATAACTCCACTGGCAGGATGTCATTTTTGTTTTGAAAATTCTCTCAAAAATAAATTATGGATATTCACAGAAATTATTCATTATAATATATAATTGATCATATTAACAGACTTCTTGCATGTACTCGTGTGCTATGCTTTTTTGGCTCTTAAGTGACATTACAATTCATGCAGCTAGAATACATTCTTGCTCTTAGCAGATGCCGTTGAACTCAATATCACAATAGTCTTCATAATATTGCTCTTTCATTATTTACAAATATACATAATTCAACATAATTAAACATCATTAATCACGACAATGAAAGCTTACTGTATGTGTTCAATTTTTTTTCTCATGTTTTTTCATTTGTAAATGTTAACAGACATTTACTGAGCAGAATTTTCCATCACCGTCATTTGTATGAAACCTTAACGGTTTGATATATCCCATACGCTAGCTATATTTGCAGTTTACTCATTTAATTAAAAATTTTACTGGAAATCACATATACTAATGGCATCAAACATGGATATGCATATTTGGGACTAAATGTCGGAAATAATGACATGGTCCACTTGAATCGGCCATTCCTAGTTGTATTTCTCACGATTAGTCATTTCAAAATCAATCCCCTTCAAGATTAACTGCAAAGAATAGAATACGCTACATTAAAACATGATATTGGATATAGTAACAGAATGTTAAGACTTTAATTAACACCACAAAAACACTAAATCATATTTTTACTTTCTGATCTCTAAATAAATACATAAGTTCACACATATGAGGGTCTAAAGTAGGGTCTACGAAAACATAAACTGAATGAGCGCTCTAAGGGAATAACAACGTTGTTCTATCCAAACAGTGCTCTTTGGACATTAACAAATAGCATGGAATAAATAAATGCAGTGAAGGCCTTAATTTTAAAAATAAATAACCACAAATATACATTTTAATGCCTCTTCTTCATGTAGATTATATATGCTCACAAAAAACAGTCCCTACTATTATACCATCACACAAAATGTGGCTACCGATTCCTCTTTTTCCTTAAATATTGGCTATATACTTAGCTACAGACACCAACCCCTGTTGTAAATCCACCCCAACATTGCACCGACATTGAATTCTTATGTACACAAGGCATAATTTTGAAATGATGATTTTCAATGATTTTTAAATGCTTTTTTTAATGATGTATCGAACACTCGGAATAAACATGAGCTTCAGAATTTCACTGACATCCTGAATTGCGGCTAGATTAGACCTGTCATAGGCCTCTCGAAAGTTCCTTCAAATTCTTTCTCTTTATTTGGAAAGGAAGTCAAAAATTTCATAGGAGCCTTAGGAAATGCTGATTTATTCTTATCTAGACCTCTAAATGGCTCTTCAATTTTTAAACTTTTCTTTTTGCGATGATAACTTGACAAGAGCATTAGATGTAATGAATACAATTTCAGCCATTCATCTTTTATCATGATTTACACTACATACACGGAAGCTTCAATGTCAACAATTTGAATTTTCATTCTTTCTCCCGAAAGGCCCTATTCTTATCAAAACAGTGGTGCAGGTCAGAAGATTTTGTTTTTCTTCTTTTTCTTCTTCTTGTCTAATACAATCAAGGTGTATTCATTCTCACCTTGGTAAAGAAAATGCTCATAAAAAAAAAAATTGTGGTAGTCAATGATTCCTGAAAACTCCTTTCAGAATTCAGGGATTTTGGAAGTTTTGATGAATGAATCGTTTCATTGTGCTGGCTGGTAAAAGTCAAGGTTTGTCTCAACTGACTTGCTTCACTGTCACTCGCCCCATACCATACAGCTAATTATGATTTCAAAATTGGGGCTTCAAATAAAAAGAGTTGGGTGTCCCAAAACAGAGCCTCCATTTAATGGTTCGGAGAAGAAAAAACACAACCATAAAAGTGAAAACACCTGCAGCTAATCATGCAATATCTTGAAAGCCTTGAATATGATATCACTTGTTTGTTTCTGTTTTCTTTTTTTTCTCAAAAAAATGCAATTACAAGATCAATATCAAACAATAGAAAAATTGGTCGCAGCAATAGATGGAATGACAAATGAGAACAATTTTCGATTAAAAAAAGAAAATAGTGAAAACTGCAAATGCTCTAGAATGATAAGCAGGTATAGATGAAGTCTCCTTCACGGAGAGCAGAGTTGTCAGGTGATTGGTGCAGCGAGGAAAGTTACTCCACAGTGACGGACTTGGCCAGGTTCCTTGGGCAATCCACCTGCGCAGGGGGAAGGAATGGTTGAAACAGTGAAATTAGATTTCTTTTTAAGTGTAGATCTTGCTCAGAACAAGCAAGATATCGAAGGTTCAGTGACACAAAGACGTAACTCCATATTTTGCCAAAATGACTATTTGATATCAAAATGTTCAAAAAACAAGTGGGCTTTCCAGGAATCACAAAGACTTAACTCCATCCAACACCCCATTGAAGTCAATGGCTAGTGAAACATAGACTTAACTCCGAAGTGCTCAGTGACACATAAATCACCTTTTCTCAAAATGGAGTTACATCTTTGTGTCACTGACCCCTTGATATTTACACAAACTAGGCAAAAAAAAACGGGCTCATTCCTTGAGCATATGAAGAAACATCAATATAAAGAATTCCGGATTCCGAAAAAGAGACATTTTTGACCAACAGTTTTCAAGCTTATCATTTGATGATCATTATTTATGATTAAACGGGGAATTCAACCAACTGGAAATAAGACTAAATGGGTAATGGACCAAATGGGTAGTAGACTCATTGGAGATTAGACCAAATGGAAATAAGACCAAATGACTATTAGCCTAAATGGTCATTACACCACATGATGAGTAGACAAAATGATTATTAGACCATGTGGATGGTAGACGAACTGGTTGTAGACCAAACAACGATAAACCTCCCGAATCAAATTAATACCCCCAGCATCATCTTTGAAAGATACAAAACCATAATAAATAATAATAATAAAAACGTTACTTATAAAGCCCTTACCATCGAAGTCTCAAAGCGCTATAACACACAAAAAAGACTGATATACAATTAAATCTTTAACAAAACTAAAAATGCAAATAAACCTACAAATTACGATACATATGGAAGACACATCAAAGTGAACAGAGTTAATTAATCATCCATAGACACATCTCAAACATGAAACTCACGTCAAACCCACGGAGGACGGCTATATGGTAGGCCAGGAGCTGGAGGGGTATGACGCACAGGATACCGGTCAGGCAGTCCACGCAGCGAGGCAGCTCGATGGTACGAGAGGCGGTGCTCAGGGCGTCCTCGTCTCCCTTCTCACAGATGATAATCGGCTTGCTCTGAGTGATGAAGAAAGAAAAAAAATGTTTATCCCTGATATGTTGTCCTAGATCCCTAATGTGATGTGATGATCAGGGGGGTGTTTCAAAAAGATCCTAAGTTGAGCTTAACTCTAAGTTGGACTTAACAGTTATGGAAAGCCGTTAGCATCATTGAAAATATTTTGTAAAAGTTATTTCAAAAGGCATAAAATGTTGGTTCAAATCATTCATAGTTTCTATTATCATGGGAGATTTCATGTTCTTGATGTGGAATTTACGAAAAGTCTAAATTACTTCAATTTTTATTTTATTATAAGGCTACAAATGGCTCTCCATAATATTTAAGTCCAACTTAGAGTTAAGTTCGACTTAGAATCTTTGTGAAACAACCCCCAGGGCCCCCATCTTTAAAAGAGTTGATATCGATCGCAACTTATTTGAGATTGATATCAATCGCAACTATGTACATAAGAGATAGGAAGACTGCAAACTTGCGATTGATTTGGATCAATCGCATCTCTTTGTAATTAAAGACGGGGCCCAGACCAAAGTTCATATCCATCAATAATTTATGAATACTGCTACAAGAAGTAAACAGGAAGTTAAAATGTTTACAAACTTTAAACCTTCTTCAAAACTATGACTCGTACAACTTCCAAGTGAAGTCATGATGCACTGGTCACTTTATTTTTCACAACATCACTCCTTCAAAATAAAGGACATACTACCATCTAACTGAGTAAAAGTTATGACGTACTTATGGTCATTTGGTCAAGGATTCACGGATGACCGACTCCCACTAGAGGGCTTACCCATTATAAAAGGGGTTCACTTCTGGGCCCTGTTTCATAAAAATTGTTATCAATAACAAGTGCTAAATTTCTATGGCAAATTTGCTCTCAGCCAATCAGATGCCATGATTTCAGTAGCTTATAACAGTAGCTTGTAACTTGTCATTGATAACACGTTTTATGGAACAGGGCCCAGGACCCCAGGCAGGGTTACTTCAGACTTTGGAGTAGTTTAGAGAATACTTCATCGAGAGAGTATAGTTACCACCAGAATTGCTCTAGACTTCAATTTATCATTACTATTGTATTTTAACTTTATAAATACTATGCTCTGTATTTAATTGCAATCAACTTGTTTAACTCTCTATATGCATGAAAGTAAGTTGTACAATATAGATCCGATCCTCACACAACACTGATGTCTTCAATACATCTGCACAAAATGATGAAAGTGGTTTTCGTAAGCCATCATCAATTTTAAAATAAACTCATCATCACCACGCTCAATTCCAACAATAAAAAATTTATCCACATGCCAGAATGACTGGAAACCCAACTTTTTTCCACAGAACTAGATTTGGCTCTTTTGTTTCTTATTATATTGTTTACATTGAAAGCACTATGGTACTTCTTGGAGTATACATGTAGCTCTGTGCAAATTACCATAAAATTATGATTCCTGTTTACGATCATTACATCAAATATTGTTGGATTTTACACAACACACACCTGTATTTGTCATATCTACTGCGTTAGCGCATATTACATACTCCAAGATTTTCAAATTATAATTAGAAGTTGTATACATTCACTTTACCCAAAGTTTCTAACATGGAACTGAATTTTTAGCATGTTTAACGTTCTCACCTTTCTGGCAACGACTTGACGCAAGGCATTCTGACATTTCTGTAATGAAAAGAAAAAAAAAGGAATGTTCACAACAGATGGTATCATTTGGTCATGTTTACTTTGCCAATTTGATGTTATTTTAATGATTCCAAAACCCCCTAGTATTTATGATCAATCTTTCCCAATTATTGAAGACAGTTTCTTTTACAATGCAATCGCATGACAAGAAATAAACTTTATCTTATAAGTTAAAGAAAATAATAGTTAAGGATAAGAATTCTCACAGGATGAAAAGAATCACCCTGTATTTCTTTATTACTGTGAGTAGACACCATTGTTGTTAGCAACTCCATTTAGGCTCCCTATCCCACTTTCTTTTTTAAAGACCATATCCAAACTAAAAAATGAAATGGATGAATTGTATATCATCGAAAAGGTTGTAAGCCATACTGTAGATTACATTAATATCAATTATATGCTATTTTAGTGTCTGTCAGCAGAGTATCAGCTCTCCGAAAACTCAAAATATAAAGCTTTGAAAATCAGAAGTTGTCAACCTAAAAACCTTGCTATCGACTTGATGAAATCATCATATGTGGAATCGCATATTCATTAAGACGGCTGATCGCCTCAGCTATATACATGTAGGTGAACTGATCGGGTGAACATGTTATACTGCGTCAAATTTGACCCCTGTTAACCTAATTTGGAGGGGTGCGGAAAATGAGGTTTTAACTTCCTTTTGTGCAATAATGAAAAGGTAAATACTTTATTCCTTTATATTTGTATTCTACATTCATTCAAATTTCCATTTATATCAAGTTGTATTTTTATCGGATAAGGTCTTTAAAGAGGTTGAGTTCTGGGAAGAGGTGAAAAATAATTTGTGAGCATTATCATTGTTATTATGTAAGTGTGGAAAAACATCAGATCAAAAATGTTCCCTGAAAAGCATGGGTCTTCAAATGCCTAAATATTCTAAATAAGGCATGTAACAGCATAAGAATTGGGGCAGATTTTTGAAACCACATGTTCGTGTAGTCCCATATACATCTTTCTGTGTACAATGCTTGTAACTTTACCAAGACTGGACAAAATTTCTTATAATTTTGATGATTCTAGAACCTTGCAGTACCCACCAATACTTATATGCTAGATGATCAACTTGTTTTGATCGACTCCACACTGTTTCTTTCACAATGCAATCTCATGACCAGAACTCAACTTCATCTTTAAATTGTTATTTCTAATCGTACCACATATGTTCCATCTTTCATCATGACGAGGATGACGGGCATGTCTTCATCGACCAGAGCGAGGGGGCCGTGCTTGAGCTCTCCCGCCAGGATGCCCTCAGAGTGAAGGTAGCACAACTCTTTGATTTTCTGAGAAAAGACGGAGAGATTATAAGTAAATGCAGATTTTGTATAATGGGTAGAAATAATGATTATAGGCTTGGAAATACACCTTGAAAGTAAGGCAATTGGTCTATAACCAGTTTGTCTACTGCCCAATCAGTCTATTCCCATATGGTCTACACCCAGCCTGTCTACTATCCACATGGTCTAATAATCATTTTGTCTACTTATCATTTGGTCTAATCTCAAATTAGTCTACTACCATTTGGTCTATTGTTCATTTAGTCTAATTAACAGTTACTAGTCTAATTCCCAATTTGTCACAAGCTCATTTTGTCTACCATCCAATAGGTCTTATAATCATTCTTGATCAAATAATTACGGATAGCAGACAAAATAGGATTAGACAAACCGGAAATTAGACTGATTGGAAATTAGACCAAACGGCAATAAATCCACATCACCATCACTGATCATCACCATGACAACCATCATCATCCACAACATCCTCATCACCATTACTATTCTTACCAGGGCACCTTCCAAGCAGGTGGCAAAGTTGAAGCCCCTTCCCATGAGCAGGATGCTCCTCTTCTGCACAAGCTCCCCTGCGAGTTTCGCAATCTGATTGTCCATCTCCAACACTTGCTTGATTTTATCTAACGCACGGAAAGAAATGATAATGCTGTTGAAACAAGTTCTAAAGGACGAGAAATTGTGCTGATTATTTATCTCCAATACTTGTTTGATTTTATCTACCACACAGAAAGAAATGATTATGCTATCGAAAATAATATCGCTAGTGACACTCCTTGCCCAGCCAGCCCGCATCGAGCCAACCAATGTTGATTGGTTGAGCACCCATGTGCTTCGACCAATAGGCCTTGTCCGTCATGTTCTAATTATTTGACCGCCGGTCCACCCGGTCCACCCGTAGAGTATAAAAGATGCTTGCTTACAATCTATTTTATCATCTGACGAAGTGTAGCAGCGGCGCACGAAACATCGTGATCTTTTAGATACCTTGTTGACCATATTGCGAGACAAACGAATGTCACTAGCAATATTATTTTCGATACTATATCCGCAATGAGTTATATATTTAGCATTAAATGATAATTGCTGTTGAAACAAGTTCCAAAAGTTGAGAAATTGTGCTTCTTCCAACAAAAATAAAATGAGAGGAGTGGGAGAAGGATAGAGATGAGGTTGAGAGTTTTAACAAGGATGAGGGTAAGAAAACAGTAAAGAAAACCCCCACCCCCTCCCCCCCCCCCACTGCCTTCATTACAGATCTGACAATCACCTCTTTGACAAATTCTCTACCCCCACCCTTCCCTTCCCTTCCCCTCCCCTCCCCTACATACAACTACCAATTTCCAGTACTTGTCACCATCCAAACGAGCTTAAGTCCTGGGAGGCAGCAGTTTTTTTCCTGATAATGTAAATTGTGAAACACTTCACATTTCTGTATCCAAAAATACACAGCTCGAGAATACACAGAACCTTTGTTGTGCACCTTTGCCATTCATTTGTTGTAGCAGTTTTTGATATTTACGACTCTGGCTAAAGTTAACCCACAACCTTTGCATCTCAAATCTCGGTCAAGTGTTTAAACCACCCATCACAACACCTCTATCAGTCAATTTGGAGTTGGTCTAGCCTTGTGACTAGGGGTCTGTTCAAACGACACTTTTCCACCCTAGAAACACGTTTTTCAATGTTTTTTGTCGGTCGTAAAAATAAATGCGTTTCAAAACGCAAACATGAAACGCTGAAAAAGATGCTGCAGAATCACGGCCGCTAAAAATTGCTTGAATGCAACTGAGATCTCAATCATGATTCTATAGCATCCTATCATTTCCGGTTTGGCCGACAGTCGACCGTAAACAAATTTCGAAAAGCACGCGCCGATTGATGATAAACGCGCCGACGCGTTAATGAAAAATTGCTTGAACGCTCTCTCGCAGTGACCATGTTTTTTAACCGCTTTTTGATTGGTGATTCATTTTAGTGATTCTAGCTTTAAAAAAATCGCTTGATTGCACCCTAGGGGTTCAAAAGAGACAGGAAGGGTATAAACTTACTTGGTAGATCTTGAAGTTCCTGGATGATCTCGTGTCTCCTGGCTGTGAATGAGAGTCTGTCTTGGTTCATCATCAGAGCAAACATGACCAGGGAGACGAACTGACTGGTGTAGGCCTACAGGGAGGAACAAACAAATAAATGGTGAGAAACAGACAGGGACATATAGACAGACGAAGAAAGCGATGTCCGTCTTCTAGCTGTGAATGAGACTCTACCTTGGTTTATCGTCACCAAGGAAATGATCTGACTGGTATAAGCCTTCATGGGACAAATAAATAGAACAATGCAAACACATCTAATTACATTTTCACAACACCTCTTTCTCCTCTTCCTCAGCTTATCATTATCACCAGAACACCACCATTGTCATCACTACCATCAATCATCCTCATTCTCATCATCGTCATTATCATCATCATTATGGTCCTCTTTCTTCTCAGCGTCATTATCATCACCAGCAGCAGTAGCATTGTCACTATCATCATCTTCATCATCACCATTATGATCATCACCATTTGGATCATCACCATCCTTATCACCACCACCACCACCACCACCACCACCACCACCACCACCACCACCACCACCACCACCACCACCATCCTCATCGTCACCAGTATCTCTATCAACATCTATCAACATCAGCAGTTTCAGTGATATCTCCATCATACCTTTGTACTGGCGACTCCAATCTCCGGCCCAGCGTTGAGGTGAACACCACAGTGCGTCTCTCGCGAGATGCTGCTGCCGACAGTATTGGTTATTCCAACGGTGAGAGCGCCCCTTGACTTACAGTAGCGCAGAGCATTCAAGGTATCTGCTGTCTCACCTAAATAAAAAAATAAAAACAGATGAAAACAAATCAATGACAAATTCATACTTCATGCTCACTAAGAACTACTTTATATTACAATTTTTTTGCAGATATTAATATTTAAGCGGGACTGCACAACTTATAGCTATTTGCGCCCTCTATATTGCAAACAATGCCTAAGCGGTACCCATTGGTCCCCCATGATCCCCTTTTTCTAATGTTAATTTAGTGCTTATTTGAACAGATAACCACCTGTCAGTGACCATGCAGGGAGGTGTAATCCCTCCCGGCCAAACTAGTGCAGACAAGCTCAAAGAAAATTGGTCTCTGTGATAAACCTCTAGTGTAATAATAATAATAATAATGGTGGCTTCTTATATAGCGCACAGGTCTGTCACGTTGTGACGCTCCTGGCGCTGCCTCGATTATTACCCTGGCTTTAGCAAGGCAGCCACTGCAGCGCTCTAGCATTTCAAGGAATGTACCACAATGGGAAGAAAAAAAATTGTACAGAAAGCATATTCATTCCCACAATTTTCATATAGAAAATGCAATTATGATAAACCTCTTTTTTTCCACCTTTCTTTGTCCCTCCCTCCCTCCCTCCCTCCCTCCATCTATCTAGGCAGATGGTCTTTGGGTACAGGTTACTTTAGTCCATGTTTCAATAGGACCATTTTCAAGGGAGACAAAAAATGTGGTCTTTCTATACAGGTGGTCACTAAAGCAGGTTTCACTGTAATATCCCCGGTCTGACTCTCACCTGACTGACTGATGAAGAATGCCACATCGTCCCTGAAAACAGGAGTGTGACGGTCCAAAAAGTCACTCGACAGCTCAACCACCACAGGCAGTTCTGTTAGCTCCTCGATCAACTGGCGAGTCTGGAGAGAAAGAAAAATAAAAATCGTTAATAGTTGTGTGAAGTTTAGGTGTTGCAGAGGCGTCCTGGGGGGTGTTTCATAAAGCTGTTTGTAAGGTAATATGAAGTGCCAGATAGGATGCCCAAAGTTTTTCCTGATGTTTTAACAAAGTGTGACTATATTTCCAATAACCTCAATTAAATTATGACAAAAAATATACTTTGCATTAAAAATGTTTGTTAACTTATAGTAAGAATGTTAATCTACATCTGCACAGTTCAACTTTAGTTGATGCAGTTAAAAATGTTTGAGCATCCCATTTGGCTTTTCAAATTTAAATCATTCGTAAAGCCGCCATAGGTACAAGCTCGCTGACAACTCATTAAAACACGACCATCTAAATATCATTTTGGACTTCCCCTTTGATCTTCAGGGCAGTGTTTCACGAAACCATCATAAGTACAAGTTCGCTGACAACTCATTGAAACGTGTGTGTTAAATTTAATCCACATCACAATGGAATTTAGGTGAACTTGTATTTATGACGGTTTCGTGAAACGGCACCCTGTTTGCAGACTTACAGCGATTGCCGAGTGATAGCTCGTACCGCAGGCCAAGAAGAGAAGACGACGACATCTCAGAATCTCATGCATATGATCCTGAAGACCACCAAGGCACACTAAAACAAAGAAAGAAAGAAAGAAAAAAACACTGAAGGATGTATTCTCGAAAGCAGCCTAACGGCACACTAAAACAAAGAAAGAAAAAAAGAAAGAAACACTGAAGGATGTATTCTCGAAAGCAGCCTAACTTCAGGCGAGGTTTAAAGGCCCTTTCCAAGAAAATTCAACTTTATATCGATGGAAAGCTGAATGAACGTAGAATACATATATAATGGAATGAATAATATATTTAACTCTTCAGTATTGCACACAACATCATTGTGAATATGCATACTTTTTAGGTCAACAACTTCCAATTTTCAAAGCTTTAGATTTCAAGTTTGCGAGGTTCAGGAATCAATGACAAATTATGAATTATTTTGTTCATCAGGCTTGGTTATTTACTGGCATAAATGTTTAAAAAATAATGAGGAATACGATATTATAATAAACCCGGAAGGTAGAAAGAAATAAACACAAAGATATTGTAAAATTTGTATATTGTACATTTGTATATTTTGATTCATTTTGTACTGGCCATCCGTATTCCAGTCAGCCCGTGTTGTTTTGTGTGTGTTATAGGTAAGAACCCTGCCCTCTCTTGTTCCTTGTCTCCCTTCTTTCCCTGTCCCTTTCACTCCTTCTATGTTATGTCTATTTGGTTTATGTATTTGTGCGTTCCTTTATTATTAATATACTATTTTTGCAAATATAAGTTATAGGGCGCTGCAATCTACAAGCCCAGCTTTTCAGCAGTCTCCTCCATGACCAACCCGTTTTATATGCCTGTTGTACACTGTGGACCTAGTGCAATGATATTGTTTCATTGTTTTACTATGTACAATGCAATCCCATGTACTTTATTTATTTTGTTGGAAATGGAAATAAACGAAATGAAATGAATGAACTTACCAGATTTGGTTTCGAAGTTCACCCTGCCACGCATGGTATTGATGACAGACTCCGGCTGCTCAAAGATCTCCTTCAACATGAAATATTTGTAGTTCCCTATAGGAAAAAAAAAACAAATATTTGATTTTAGAACTATATGAGCGAAAGAATATATAACCTGTTTTACAGGACTTGGGGAGTGTTTCACAAAGACTAAGATCGACTTTAAGTTGGACTTAACTGTGGCAGGCTGTTCATGCCATCATTTTCTCTCACCATTTACTGCATTGGTTTCTCGATGGACATACAAATCATGGTTACAAATCTACAGACTTTACATTTTTTGGTGGTTCATTATTGAAGGAAAAAATATTATAAAAGATCATAATGGTGAGAGTAACCAGTGGCATGAATAGCATGCCATAATTAAGTCCAACTTAAAGTCCATCTTAATCTTTGTGAAACACTCCCTTGGTGTATGAAGGAGACAAGTTATCTCAGTCGGTAAAGCATTTGCCAAAGATTGTGGGTTTGAATCCAACTCGGTCAGATGACTGAAGCCTGCGTTGTGTGTTAACATGCCCCCTCCCCTTGTTTCATAGACGCAGGCTATCATATAGTGAAAAACACTCTGTCCCTTGGATAGGATGTTAAATGGAGGCCCCATCTAGAGGAGAGTCACCACCTTTGCACGTTAAAAACCCACTGCGCTATTCGTATAAGAGTAGGGGGGAACCCTGGTGTAGTGGTCCACCAGCACACCCCCAATCAGGGAGGAGAGACCGGAGGGTTACAGTGACTTAGCTCGTTTCTCTCCTCCCAGGAACAGGCGACGCCAAATACTTAACAATAATAATAATAATTAAAATTTTTATCTGACTGTAAAGACCATTTTTCTTCCCTTCAGCAATGCCTTTCATTGACCTCCTTGCATTAACCCATTAGCAACTAAACCGCCCAAAACCACCCCTCCTTTTACTCACTGAACCACCCGAAATGGCCTGTCCGTTTTCGTCTAAACGGCTATAGTATCCCTTGTAGGGTCTACCGTGATAATGATATACGTGCCTAATCCTTACAATGTCTAAAGTAGGATACTGCATAGAAAAATAGCGCATGTCGTATTGTTCAACACATCATCAATATGAGAGCAATATTGCAACATCTTTCAATGAGTAATATGCCATTTTTACAAATCTCTAGTTGCTAATGGGTTAAACAGGAGTCCTGTTATTGTGATTTGATGGGGATGTTTGGGCTGTATAAATGGGACTATTATTGTTATTATTTTTTACCTTTCATGATCTGTTGAATCTCCATCTTGAGTGTCTGGACCTCTCTCGACATTGTATCTCCCTGCTCCTTCTTCAGACGATGGATCGACAGAGCTGTTCCAGAAGAAATAAAAACAGAGAAATTAAACAAATATTAAAAGGTAAAGACCAGTTTTGGACCGTCCTCCTCTCGAAAAATGAAACTGGAAGCTCTTATTACCATTCAAGTGAAAGAATGTGTTTTGACTAAAATGTGATCAAACAAATTTTGCCGAGAAACCGCCTACTAATTGATATATTTGGTAAATTATTATATATATTTGGTCCTGATAGATATAACGCTTGTGTCGCGCACGTGTGTGTAGTCCCATATACATCTTTGTGTGTAAAGTGCTTGTAACTTTACCAAGACTGGGCCAAATTTCTTATCATTTTGATGATTCCAGAACCTTGCAGTACACACCAATACTTTTATGCTGGATGATCAACCTTTTCTAATCGATTCCACAACGTTTCTTTCACAATGCAATCGCATGACTATAACTGGTCTTTATCTTTAATAATGCGTCTTCCAAGATGCTTCCAGCTGTTGGTGACAGAGCATTCATAACTGCTGCTCCCAAACTGTGGAATAACCAACCAAGATTTCTTAACGTTTTGAGACTCACCTTTTCTGTAACTAACATAAGTATAACGCACATTTGAACATGTAGATGGAAAATGTACTACATACTCTAGGTACATTATCCTTATTTGCATTGCCTGTATTGCATACAAAACAATAAAGATTGAATCTCTCTGAGCACAAAAAATGAATGTAGGATAGTGTGCAAATAAGAGAGAGAGAGAGAGAGAGAGAGAGAGCAGGAGAGAGAGAGAAAAAAGGAGAGAGAGAAAAGGAGAGAGAGAGAGAGAGAAGGAGAGATAGAGAAGGAGAGATAGAGAAGAGAGACAAGGAGAGATAGAGAGGAGAGAAAAGGAGAGAGAGGAGAGAAAAGGAGAGAGAGGAGAGAAAAGGAGAGAGGAGAGAAAAGGAGAGAGAGGAGAGAAAAGGAGAGAGAGGAGAGAAAAGGAGAGAGAGGAGAGAAAAGGAGAGAGGAGAGAAAAGGAGAAATAGAGAGGAGAGAAAAGGAGAGAGAGGAGAGAAAAGGAGAGAGAGAGAGAGAAGGAGAGATAGAGAAGAGAGACAAGGAGAGATAGAGAGGAGAGAAAAGGAGAGAGAGGAGAGAAAAGGAGAGAGAGGAGAGAAAAGGAGAGAGGAGAGAAAAGGAGAGAGAGGAGAGAAAAGGAGAGAGAGGAGAGAAAAGGAGAAATAGAGAGGAGAGAAAAGGAGAGAGAGGAGAGAAAAGGAGAGAGAGGAGAGAAAAGGAGAAATAGAGAGGAGAGAAAAGGAGAGAGAGGGAGAAGGAGAAATAGAGAGAAGAGAAAAGGAGAGATGGAAAGAGAAAGGAGACAGAGAAAGAGAAAAGGAGAATGAGAAAGAGAAAAGGAGAGATAGATAGAATAGAAACAGTCAATAAGCATCAAACTCACATCCATCTTTGATAGCGGCCACATCATTATCCTCCAGGTAGATCACACGATTGGTATGCTCGATGATGGCGCTGGCATCGCTGGTGAAGAAGTACTCGGCTTCCTTAGCATCTCCGACAACCTCAAAGTCTGTGGTACTGCTGAAGCTTCTCTCAAGCTGGGGTCCTGGGGCACATGTAAAGAAACAGGGGTGATAGTGAGCACTAAAAAAAAAAACGCCCCCATGCCCCCCTTGAGTAAAAAAAAAAAAAAGAAGAGGAATGAGATCTAACAAAATTCCCCCCTTTTGAGTAAAAAAATAGGGGAAATAGGAAAAAATACAGAAAAATAGGGGAAAATAGGGAAAATACGGGGAAAATCTGGGAAATTGAGATAAAATCTAGGAAATTGAGATAAAATCGGGAAGGAAAAAAAAATTGTCTAATTTACTATTTTTTTTTTTTAAATCGGGGAGAAGAAACAAAATTGATAAAAAATCAGGTAATTATCGAGCCTGAAAGAAATTAGATTCGTTTTTTGTCATTCATAATGCTCACAGAGACATGAGGCATAATGTTGCTTCCACAGCTGCCAACCTTGTGCACCCCCCCCCCCCCAAAAGGAACCATGATGGTAAAAAAGGGAATTCATTCAAATGAAACTAACAAGCGCGACACACTTTAATTAGAAATACAATGTTGCACAGGGAGATTATTTGAGGGAGAAATAGTTTTAAAAGCAATGTCAAGCACCTTTTAGGGCGTTTGCATCAAGATAAACACTAAGCTAATATGCTGCCAAGATCTATCGGGGTACCTTGAGATAGGTTTTGGAGTTGGTGAAACAGGGGGTGTTTCACAAAGACTAAGACCGCCTTTAAGTTGGATTTAACTATGGCAGGCCATTCATGCCACTAGTTCCTCTAACCATTCCTGGCATTGGTTTCCCAAGGGACCTTTAGATCGTGGTCACTAATCTACAGAGTTTACATTTTTTGATATTTCATTATTGAAACAAAAAAAATTATCTGAGGATCATAATTGAGAGACCAATAGTGAGAGCAACCAGTGGCATGAATGGCCTGCCATAGTTAAATCCTACTTAAAGTCGATCTTAGTCTTTGTGAAACACTCCCCAGGACTCTACCAGGTATTGGACAGACCTAGACAAAACACAAATGATCATGTACCCTACTTGACAACACACTTTCAGCTTTATGGCACACATCACATCACGTAAACCTTTATTACGGTCATTTCCCTGAAAAAATTGCAGAGTTGCTAATCCCCAAGTAGTAATAAAAGGAGGTAGTCATTTCTTCACTGGTACCTGAACTATTTCATGGTACCTGCCCATAAATTGTCCGTTCATACAAAAAGGAGGTTGTCAGTTATTTGCTGGTACCTGAAAGATTTAATGGTACCTGCCCATAAATTGTCTGTTTGGAGGCAGAAGGGCTTTAAAGGTAAAGACCAGTTATGGTCATGCGATTGCATTGTGAAAGAAACGTTGTGGAATCGATCAGAAAAGGTTGATCATCTAGCATCTAGCATCTGCAAGGTTCTGGAATCATCAAAATGATAAGAAATTTGGCCCATTCTTCGTAAAGTTACAAGCACTATACACAGAAAGATGTATATGGGACTACCCTATATCTCTCACAGACCATGAGAGAAACAAATTTACCAAATATATGAATTAGTAGGCGGTTTCCCGGCAAATTTGTTATCATCATGTATTAGTCAAAACATATTCTTTCACATGATTGGTAATGATATTGGTATTGGTCATTTTTTGAAATTGGGGCGTTTCCAATACTGGTCTTTACCTTTAACTTGTATACTTTAACACAGAGTTAACGCCCTTATGGCTCGGAACAGATGAAATGCAGCAGTCATCTCCATTAGAAAATGTCACAAATGATTTACAGCCACAACTACACAGCCACAAACTTCTGGACTAGAATGATTTGGGATTTAAAGATGAAGTTGAGTTCTGGTCATGCGATTGCATTGTGAAAGAAACTGTGTGGAATCGCCCAGAAAAGGTTGATCATCTAGCATATAAGAATTTGTGTGCATTGCAAGGTTCTGGAATCATCAAAATGATAAGAAATTTGGCCAAGTCTTGGTAAAGTTACAAACACTGTACACAGAAAGATGTATATGGGACTACACAAACACATGGGGTTAAAATCCTACCCGGATTTGTACGATGTTACATGACATATTTAGAATATGAAGGCATTTGAAGAGCCATGCATTTCAGAGAACATGTCTTATCTGATGTTCTGCCACACTTGCATGAAAAGAATGATAACGCTAACAAATTATTTTTCACCTCTTCCCAGAACTCAACCTTCTCTTTAAATAGAGCCAAAACCTTCAAAATAAGTTACTTTTATTTCAAAGTTTAAAAGATTTGTATAAAATTGGTGAAAATTTGAACAAAAGCAGGAATATTAAAGGAAGTTAAAGCTTTTGAAAATAACTTATCACCAGAGGGCAATATTTAATTTAATGACATCATTTATGGCCAAAACTCCCCGGGAGGAGGTACTCGGAATTGGTTTTGTACAGGGGTGTGCCGCTCAAGCCTCGAAACCCATACCCATTTTTAAGGGTCATTTGGGGGAATTTTCTCGAAGCCATTTTTTGAAAATTCTGACCTAGAGTTGGCGCTGTGCAAAAAACAGTGTGTTGCGGCAGAGAGTCCATCAGTTCAGTATTGCTCTAAAATCTACACATTCTACATTCTGGCCTATTCTACAGATGGAGGATTCCTACGGCTACCTGAAGTGAATTGCTGTACATATTGTGATATGAATAGTGAACAAGCAAACACTTTCAGCTACGCTGGATACAGACATGTGACTGAAATTCCACAATATTTTTTTTTTTCTTTTCTTTTCTTTTTTTTTTTTTTTTTTTTTTTTCTGTCATAGATCAATTTTCTTCAGCAAAATTGCGAATAAAAAATGTACAGGAGCTAGCTTTCATACATTTACAATGAAAATCTAATGCCTTAAATGGGCAAGCTAACATCGTATTTTCGGAACAATGATAGGAATCTTCTAAAAATCTACCGGTAAACGTATCACTCTAATACTGAAGACCTGGCTAATCATCTCTATATATATATATATATATATATATATATATAATTGAGAACAAAGCAAAAGTTGATTTTCATAAATTTCGTACAAAGATAGGAATCTTCTAAAATCTAAACTTATCACTCTAATGCTGGCTAAGCATCTCTATATATTTACATTTGAGAACAAAGAAAAAGTTGAAATATAGCACATGTAAAGCCGAGGAAATAATCTCCAAGTTCGGAAGCGCTTAGTGATTCTAATAAGCGCTATATAAAAACTGAGTATTATCATTATTAATATTAAATGTGTATAAGGGAAATTGAAACTGATACAAATATTATAGAGGAGAAACAGAACAGACAGAGAGAATAGAGACGAAAACAAAGCTATGAAGAGTAAGGATGGGCAAAGAGGAGGGAGAGTGAGGACAAGAGAGGGAAGAGTGAGGAAGAGATAGAGGGGAGGAGAGAGAAGGGGAGAGAAAGAAAGAGAGAGAGAGAGAAAGAGAGAGAGAGAGAGAGAGAGAGGAAATAATACTATTCCACAATGCACAACCATAAGGTCAGTTTGGGAATAACTAAATATCTACCAGAATTAAACGAACATGTGATATTATAGCCACTACCACATGTAAAATGGAATATCATATCATATTTTGTTATTATCAAGTTAGTTGGCAAATCGGAATCCGAGTTATATTTTCCAGAACATAGAAATTTATGTAATAACATTTAAAAGCACTGATCCCAAAGTAAAGTTTTTAAAAAAATAATAAAAAAACAAACAAACACACAACACCCTCCATGATTAACTGATTTCTATGAAAACGTCCACTAATTTATTTGAAAAGTAGATGCTTTTCATACGCATGCGATGCCTCTTCATTCATCAAATGTATGAGGGAAGTTTCTCACGACTAAAGAAGTACCAAATTTATGAGACAGGAAAGAGAAAGCAAGACGATTCGTTTTGATGTTGTGAATATATGGAACAGCTCATGAACAATAATTTTGGGGGGAGGGGGGGGGGGGAGTCAAGTAGACTGTGTTTTATTGTATATACATTGGATATGGGTAGAATTACAAACGAATTGTCCTTACAAACGAGTTGTCCTTACAAACGAATTGTCCTTACAAAGAGGATTAGTTGTTGACTTACTATAACAGTAATTTTTGTAAAATTATTAATCAGAATACATGTAGTTGTGTAATAGTGCAGTATCTGAGAGAGGGAGTGTCGACACAGGATGAGCAACAAAAGTTACAGGGGCCCGTTTCATAAAACTTGTTACCTATAACAACTGCTAAATTTCTATGACAAGTTTGCTCTCAGCCAATCAGATGCCATGATTTCAGTAGCTTATAACAGTAGCTTGTAACTTGTTATTGATAACAAGTTTGCTCTCAGCCAATCAGATGCCATGATTTCAGTAGCTTATAACAGTAGCTTGTAACTTGTTATTGATATCAAGTTTGCTCTCAGCCAATCAGATGCCATGATTTCAGTAGCTTATAACAGTAGCTTGTAACTTGTTATTGATATCAAGTTTGCTCTCAGCCAATCAGATGCCATGATTTCAGTAGCTTATAACAGTAGCTTGTAACTTGTTATTGATATCAAGTTTGCTCTCAGCCAATCAGATGCCATGATTTCAGTAGCTTATAACAGTAGCTTGTAACTTGTTATTGATATCAAGTTTGCTCTCAGCCATCAGATGCCATGATTTCAGTAGCTTATAACAGTAGCTTGTAACTTGTTATTAATATCAAGTTTGCTCTCAGCCAATCAGATGCCATGATTTCAGTAGCTTATAACAGTAGCTTGTAACTTGTTATTGATATCAAGTTTTATGAAACAGGGCCTAGTATTCCTAGAGCAGGAGAATGGGATGAAAAGTGAATGTATAAGGTTCGAAGATCAGTAGGAGGTTTTAGAGCATGAGTTCAAACTTTCTAGAAGCATGAGTCATGATTTACATGTATATCCCATCGACTTTCTACATGTAATTGGAAATTATTAAACAAAGAGGCTGTTCACACCGCAATGAGATAGCGCGGTCTATCGTAGCACCCCCTTTTTTCTAGCTATCTCTCGTGGACCACCCCCAAGAGGTGCTCCAGTGGCACGCCGTTTTGGCTCGCCGTGGCTCGCTGTTGGGCGGACCGAAACGACGTTGTACCTTCCACACCGCAGAGATAGCGCGCGCTAGACCGTGCTTTCTCTGCCGGTCTGAACAGCCTTTAAGACAGAAGCCAAGCTATATCTCCAATAATAATATGATAGAATTTTGAATAAAGGATTTTTTTAAAAATGAAATAAAGCAATAAATGCATACCAACCTTTCTCCACATTATCTACCGAAATAAAATTCAGAACGAAATGAAAGGACTATGAAATTTCAATTGAAAAAATGTATAAAAACCATCCACAAGATAGAAAAATGCATCTCATTATAAAATAATTGTATATTCTACAAGCTCATAAAACAAATAGTATAGTAGCATGAACAGATAACTGAAAGTTGCAGGTACATTAGAAAATGAAGAAAACAAAACAGACAAAAATAAAAAGAAATTTAAAGGTAATGCAAAGTTTTGGTATGGGGTCATGAATTTGGTTCAAATGAACATATTGGAAGCATAAGTGATCCTACATATTCAGTGATCATTGTCGATGGTGAAATCGAGTCTAAAGTGATGAAATTATAAATAATAAACTCTTTAAGTTGTATAGCTCCCTCTCAAGGTCAATAAATTGATTTAGCTATAAAACAATGTTTCTGGAGCCAAACTGACCGATTGGCTAATCCCGTTTGGAAATTATATATCAAAACTGCATATTCTGAAATTTTCATAGTCACAGCTATCATTGTATGGCCGTAGGCGCTATTTGAAATTTATCAAAATTTACCGGTGCTCCCGGTAAATTTTGATATTCAATTTATCTCGAAAGCAGAAGTGTTTTATGGGCTAATTTTTTTAGTGCTTATAATACATCCGCACGGGCATCCAAATATATCAAAATTGTAAGGAATCACTATCCAGCCAATTTTCAAAATTTACCAAAACTTTGTATTACCTTTAAGATTACAACAAGATGAGTGTGAAATTCCCATGTGCATTATTATTGTTATTATTTTAATTTCTTTTTTTTCCATTAACTCATTTCATTTTTTATTTATCATTTCCTTCTTTTTTTTCGCTTTTGATATTTTAGTAGGAAATCTTTATTCTCTGTCCCATTTGCAATATTTATCTAAGCACTCAATATCATTTCAACAATATTGACCAGTCATATGCATCATGTAATTATGGCATCAACAAATTAGGGAGATGTAAAGACGACAGTGAAGATACTGCAGGTGACTAGCTGGAATGCTCCCCAGGGAGTGGAGAATGTACCCTAAATGTCCAGAATAGTACTTTGCAACCAACCAGTGACCGGGACAATAATAATACTGTAAGCTCTGTTTGGTCAGTTAATGGTAAAGCGCTATATATAAGGAACAGGTAATGTTAAAATAATAGCATTCCACCCATTCAGCATGCATATAGTGTGATAAAGTTATTTACTTGGTTATGGAATACTAGAAAATTGGCAAATATTGAAAGCAATCATATATATGTCATACATTCAATTATCACTGCACACACCGTGGCACCACAAGTCATCAGACATTTTTCAATGGATATAATAGAAATACTTTTATTCAATTGATATGCAACACCAGGGGACAATTAAAAAAAAAGTAAAACCAAAGACTATCGCAAAACGAGGTAAACATGGGCAATTTTCACTACAAGGTCTTTTTATTGCAACAAATTTAGTGCTGTATCAGTTGTGATTCCACTAATTTGTGTCTGAATGGGTTATAACATTTGGAAAGTTTCTAGTTTTACGGTTACATAGGTATCCCCTGCTACACATGCTTGAGAGTGATAAACATCACCTTGCAAGCAAAACATGTACACTAAAAGAAAACACCCTAATCGATACAGGTTTTTCAGATGCTTCGTTTTCGGACAGTTTTCCACAAAATTTTGGTTCATAATCCAGAATTCAAGATCACCTATAATGCAGACCTGCCAACCTCTGGAGTTCGAAAAAACTGTATTCTTTAATCCCAAAAGTTGCATTTTACTGACAAAATTTGTATTCTTAAAAATAAACACAGACTGTTAGGCGGATCAATGCCTCTTACAGTTCCTACATACAGGAAAAAATGCATGATTCATCATGACTGGTGTGTTCGATGAACCAATGAACATCCACAAATTGCCGATGTGAGATGCTTTTAGGATACTTAATAGGACAGAATGGGCATTTTGCCATTGAAAATGGCACACACACACACACAAAAAATACCACCAAAAAAATATATTAAAAAAAAAAAAAAAAAAAAAAAATATATTGTTTTTTGTTTTTTTTGAAAATCGTATTTGCTTCTAAAAATCGTACTAAATACGACTAAATCGTACTGGTTGGCAGGTCTGATAATGGGCTTTAAGGGCAACACTTTTAGAGGGAATAAATTGAAGTAAAAAATGTTTCTCCATTCTTTTTATTTACTATTCACCCCAATATTACTATTCAACCCATTGTTACTATTCACCCATTCATAGTAAATAGATATACAATGCGCTGAAAGGCTCTACTGAGTTGAAATTATGGATCGAGGTGGCAGGAATAGCACTATTTCTGTCGCCGAGGAATCCATAATTTCACTAGTGGCTTAAAATAGTGCATGATATATTTGTTTTATATTTTTCAAACTAACCTTCATAAAAATAATAATAATAACAATTTTTCTATGACGCACTCACATGATGCCATGTTGACCAATCAGTGAACAGGATTTCTTACCTCTGCTGTCTTTGTAGAGAATAGGAACATAGTTGCTGGCCAGTTTGGTCTTGGTCTTGATTCCGATGAGGAGGGGACTTCCACGACGGGTCGCCACGCATTCACCGGGGAACCTCTTGCTCTTGAACGCAAGGGCAAAGGCACCTTCCTACGAGAGAGAAAGAGGGTGGGTGAGGCAGAGAGAGAGAGAGTGGGGCAGAGAGGGAGGGAGGGGGAAGAGAAATAAAGAGAGAGAGAGAGAGAGTGAGTGAGACAGAGAGGGAGAGAAAGGGGGGGGGGAGAAAACAGAGAGAGAAAGATTGCCTGTCTGACTATCAAGATATTTATGATTGGATATCAAAATCAAATTTTTTTATGTTTTCCAAACGGTTTTTATAACACTAGTCTATTGGGGAAAATGAGTATGGTAAAACCGGTCACTCAAAGATTTTTACTTTTTTGAAGCACTTCATGGTCATTTTGAAATGCAATTTTTTTGTTGGGGGGGTTCAATATTACACAATATCACAGATACTGAGAACACGTAGGGCCATGCATCTCAGATTTGTAAAACTGGAAACATTATTAAAATGCCTTTAATCAAAAGAGCAGATACCAAAATTCGACAAAAATGAACCTCCACTGACAGGTTATTTGAAATGGAATGGTATAAATTGTCTAACAAAACACACTGATGTTCGCATACCAGTTGTAGGATGACGGATTCTACGAGCTCTCTGAAGGTGATTTTGTCGTCTTCACGGTTGTCGTAGAGATACTTGATGAGCTTGGCGATGATCTCGGTGTCTGTATCAGACTCAAAGACCATGTTCTTGCTCTCGAGCAGCTTCTTGATGTCCTTGTAGTTTGTGATAATGCCATTGTGGACGACAACAAACTCTGAAATAAATAAATAAAGTAATTATGTAAGTTTATAATATATGGGAAGTAAATAGGCAAGTTAGTACATTGGCTTCCAATCAAGCAACGCATTGTGTTCAAGATCCAGACGGTTGTCTACAAGTGCATCCCAAAAAAAGCTCCAGTGTATCTCAACTCTCTATCTTACCCTACCAATCTGCTCGCCCTGCCCTTCGCTCTCGTACTGACAGCACCCTGCTACACGTTCCTCTAACATACACCAAAGCTGGGGACAATGCTTTCCATGCATGTGCTCTTAGACTCTGGAATGAGCTTTCACGTTATATTTGATTATCACCTTTGCTGGATGTCTTCCGAAAATGTCTCAAAACTCTCCTCTTCGACCATGATCAACAACATATTCTTTGAAAAACAGTTATGTATTAAAAGCGCTGTGAGTGTGAAACAACAGTTAGTTTGTAAGAACGCTATAGAAGTGACTTTATTGTATTGTATTGTAAGTACTACAAGGTAAGTAGTAGGTAATTAGTAACTAAGCAAGTAATTAAGGATTGTTGTACTTATTGAAGTCTAAAGATTATGCTGTCCTACAGGTAGTAATTGAACTGAATGATTTTATGTAGAATATGTGAAATGATGGATCGAATAGCATTATCGCAGGTGTCGTGGTCAAGTGGATAAGTCACCCGACTGCAGATCGCAAGGTACAGGGTTCGAGTCCCGCCGCAGTACTAATGTCCTTTGGCAAGACGTTAATCTACGTTTGCCACTCTCCACCCAGGTGTTAAAAGGTAGGATGCGAAAGTTAATGGGGTTGGATGAGCAAGTGGAGCTTGTAAAATGGTGACTGGCCGGAATGCTTCCCGGGGAGTGGAGAATGTGCATACATTGTGTGCGGGTAAGCCTGTATCCAATGACCGGGGTAATAATATGTACTGCCCCTACAAACAAAGTATTAGCCGCATTATAAATGTGAGCTATTATTATTGCTAATTTTTTTTTTTAATTCTGCATGAACTTTGGACACCCCGGCCATCATACAGGATGTGTGTATAGAGATTTCTCACCATTTTCCTCATCAGATCTCTGTGGATGGCTGTTGACTTCGTTGGGGACGCCGTGAGTGGCCCATCGGGTGTGGGCTATGCCGCAGTGGGTGTCGTACTCGAGGTCAAAGTCCAGGTCCTCTTGAACTACAAAGTGAGAGGATAAACAAGATTTAAATTCAGTAATTTTTTGCACATTTTGATAGGAAGGAAAAACAGAGAGAGAAAGAGAAAGAGAGAAAGAGAAAGAGAGAGACAGGGGAGGGGGAAGCTGTGTGTATTCACTGTTACATAAAGTAGGAGGTTTATCTGTTAGAATTAGTCTGCTGCAAGCAAGAAGGCCTTAAAGATAAAGTTGAGTTCTGGTCATGCAATTGCATTGTGAAAGAAATGGTGTGAATCGATCAGAAAAGGTTCATCATTTAGCATATAAGTATTGGTGTGTATTGCAAGGTTCTGGAATAATCAAAATGATAAGAAATTTGGCCTAGTCTTGGTAAAGTTACAAGCACTGTACACAGAAAGATGTATATGGGACTTCACTCACGTGCGTTTATCTATAAGGTCCAAATAGATATAATAATTTACCAAATATATCAATTAGTAGGCGGTTTCTCTGCAAAATTTGTATGATCACGTATTAGTCAAAACATATTCTTTCACATGATTGGTAATAAGAGCTTCCATTTCTTTTCTTTTCTTTTTTCTTTTTTTGAGAGGGGGGCGTTTCCAAAACTGGTCTTTACCTTTAAGAGGAATGTTCGTGTATTGTTAATGGCAGTTCTTGCAAGGAGCATGCGTGCATAGGCACACATGCACAAAAGACAGATAGCATTCTCATAGTCACATGTGCAATATAAGGGCCACAGAGATAAAAACAAGTACGCATATTGTCAGCTCGGAGGCAGAACAGCATTATTGACTCTCATCAATAACACAGAGTTATTAAACACCTTTTTTGTCTCTTATTAAACCCCTTGACTACAAAATTTTCTCTTTCCAATAGAGTTAACACATGGACTACGACCACATGGTTCCCTTAGGCAATCGGTTAAGAGCCAATATCCTGTGTTCCTGCACATAACTGCATGCAAATACACTTTGAGATGTACTCAGCATTCATATTTCATTTATAGTAACAACCAAAATGAAGATGATGTTCAAATTTATGTTCAAATTGCTGAAAATCATTTGATGGAAATATGCAGATGAAATCATTCCTCTGTCATGCTGCAATGGATCACTTGATTAATATGAGGCATACGTGTATTTTGTGCAAGTGCTGCTAATGTGGAACCCTGGGAACATGCACAACCAGTCATCATACAAACATGCACAATTCTGTCATATTCATTACAGTGACATACAGAACATGCATGTATATGTACCTCTTATACATTTATACATGTTAGGGCTATGAATCATAACACTGAATACTGGTAGTTGCACAATAAACCTGTATTTTGTGTAATAAATGACTGGAAAGTTACAATGTACATGACTGTGAAATGTCCCTAAACCACATGAATCACAATTATGAAATACACGTAACTGTTGTTATGAAATATTCAATCAATGATGGACATAAATATGGAGTATAAATTCCCTCTTCCATAAACCCTTATCCAAGTAACTGTAATGAAGACCCACTACCAATATAGGGTACAGTCATGTACAGGTAGATTAATTAGATACCACATTTTGTATAATGTACACCATTAAATATCCCTTCTCTCTCTCTCTCTGTCTGTCTCGCTCTCTCTCTGTCTCCCTGTCTCTTTCTCTCTATCCCTCTATCCCACATGGAGGGCATATGGGCTTTAATATTGAAAAGTGGCCACTTAGAAAGAATTACTGTTAATCTTAACCTCTTTTGAGAATACATGGTGTGGGCAAGGCTCAAAATACTTGGGGGCGATTCGCCTCCGTCATATTGCTCACAGGGGCGATTGCAAAATTAAAAATCGCCCCCGTGGAATTATAAAATAAAGATTATCTTTTCTGTTATAACTTTCACACAATATTGAGTTTCAACTTTCAAACCTTAAACCAATGAAAATGGAATCTCTGTGACTGTATTACCGATACAAACAACGGAAGCTCGCAGTGCAGTGCGACCTTCATCATCAGCTATACTGCGCCGGAAGTACCGGTGTGCAGACTGTGCACGCTGCTGCCCCATATCTGCTGGAGCTAGAAGCAATTGCGCAACGACCAAAACATTAAGAAGTTTTTTGTTGTGAAAAACATGAATCCTCTGAAATCTGGTGATCCCATAAGACGAGCAAATAATGAGCCTCGACCAGTAAATCGATATTGAGAAGAAGAGTACAACCAAAGGTGTTGTGGTAGGATATAGTAAAGACTAAAGAAAAGGGTAATAATGTTGCTCTGTATGATTAGGAGGATGGCAAGAAATGGAGAGAATGTCATCACTGGATGAAACCCCTATGTAACTTGTAAAAGTTGTAAAGAGGGAAAATGCCGAATTAGATTAATAGTTATGATGAAATAGCAAAGAATTTAGGAGTATTATGGGAACCAATTCAATGGAAATTTGTATTAAAAAAGAGCCCCCTTCAGTACTAAAAGAGCTCCTGTGAGAAGGCTCACAGGGGCTTTGTTTTTTGGAAGAGCCCCAGTGAACAAAAAATTAATTTGAGCCCTGGGTGTGGGTCAATATAATAAATAATAATAATATTGACTTGTACAAAAACGATGCTTATAAAGCGCTTACCATCGAAGTCTCTAAGCGCTATAACAAACGAAATACAATGATAAACAATTACATATTAAACAAAACAAAAAAGTGCAAATAAACCTACAAATTAAAATACATATGAAATATACAGAGTAAGTTAATCATCAAAAGCAGGCTCTGACGCTCATGGCGCTTTTAATACACATATCACCCTGCAAGGCTTAAATTAATCCAAGGCCACCAAGGCCATGGCCGTAGATGCCCTTTTGATTGGCCTCAATGCCCCTCTCATTGGCCTTGGAGATTTGTTGTGCCCTTTCCAATTCTTCCTATTTGTGCTGTACTATAGGAATGTGCCCTTCAGAAAAGTGGCCTTGCCCTAAAAATATTGAATTTTAAGGCCTGACCCTGGTTGTTGCCGAGCTGCCAAAGTAAATAGCTCTCAAGCATACCAGGTACCCATTTACACCTGGGTGGAGAGTGGCAAATGTAGATTATGGAGCCAGTGAAGTGATTTAATGCCCTCCTGCCTGACTCTCAACATGTAATATCATGTTCCTTTCCTACTGTATGTATTTCCAATCATATTTCTGATCTTCCTTTCTTTAATTTCAGGGGAAACTCTTACACTCATTTAACTTCTTTAAAGATCACCATCAAACAAAAAACAAAACAAAGTGAATTCCCAGTCTCCAAGAACACAATTCACAAACATGTAGAACAGACATTGATACACTCATGCATGTAATTTCACAAGAGGCATCAAAAAAACATTAATCACACTGCAAAACTGACTCCAGATCGACTCCATTTAATAGGAGTAAAGTAAAATTTTTGTAAAGGAATTTCAGCTTGCACCCAGAAGATAAAGATTGCATGCTCGATCTTGTAATAAAAGTCACATCACAGGAAATCTTGGAACCAGCGGGATATGAACCGGCGATCCACTTCTTGCCAAGCAGCGACTCTACCACCAGGCCATCCCGGGTCCATGGCACAGCTCTCCAGAGTCTGATCTACTAACATTCATCAGTCCGCCATCCGGACGTTAGGCGAGCTTACAAGATCGAGCACGCAATCTTTACTTTAAACTTGGTGCAAGCAGAAATTTCTTTACAAAATGAAATTACTCCAAGAAAGCCTAAGATTCTGGAGTCGGTCTCACGGGTGTGACTGGTGCTACTCATGCAAACAATACTCTTTGTACTACCTGTGACTATATTGTGTATTCCGTGTTAAGATAGTCGGGAATTAGGGTGAAAGGAGAGATACAAGTGAGTGAAAAGTGAGAGAAACAATGTATCAAGACAAATTGCAAATATTTCAGAAATAATATTTTTGTTTATCGAATATTTCACAATAAAAGCGTCAATCAAATGTTGAAATTAAATCAAATGAAATGTTCGATTTAATTGTAAAATATATAGAACTTTACTACTACTACTACTACTACTACTACTACCACTACCGCTACTACTACTACTACTACTACTACTACTACTACTACTACTACTACTACTACTGCTACTACTACTACTACTACTACTACTACTACTACTACTACTACCACTACTGCTACTACTACTACTACCGATACCACTACCACTACTACTACTACTACTACTACTACTACTACTACTACTACTACTACTACACTGCTGCTACTACTACTACTCCTACTACTTCTACATTCAGGTGTTGTATGTTACCATATGATCTAAGTACTAGGGACTAGGGGATAAAAAGTAAATTCTCTTGAGATGGTAGATCACCCCCCCCCCCCCCACAAATTTTTTTTTTTTTTTAAATTCCCACTCAACCATACCAAACCATATCAGACTACTTTTTATTGAACAGGTCATTTAATTTCAAGCTTGCTTGTGTTGAAATGTAAAGACAAAAAGACTAACAAGTGACAATACCCATAAGATGTGTAATGAAATAAGAGGGTGAATTTGTTTTGAAGTGGCTAAAGGCCATTTTGTGTCAAATCCTTCAAAATTGACCATTGCAAGAATACGGACTGCAGGTGCGAATGTGAACGTATGCCTGTGCACAATGATACATGTATATCAAATAAATGAAGAAATACAATTAAATGAAAAACACAAGATTGTATTTCTACGCAAAATAATAGGAAAATACTATGTTTCATGATACAGAAAACTTTCATTTAATAGTTGGGGTAGTCATAACATGTAGTTTAAGCTTCTACCAACCTTAAAATAAGTAGGCGAGCTTTTATCCACACTCTTGTGGACTTTCTCAAGCCAAGTGATTATTCATACAGTTTCTTGCTGTCTGCTGCCTTGAGATCACTGGAGCGAAGATAGGCCATTCATATATTATCACATATTTTCACTCCAAAGATCTCAGGGCAACAGGTCAAGGCAAAAGTCCAAAAGGAAAATAATAAGTCATAAAATAAAGGACACATTTCAAAGCAGAACAGCTAGAAATAGTCAATTTTTCTTCCAATAATTATTCTTATTTAAATAATATATACTGAGTATCATTTTAACGATAATTTCCTGTATCAAGATGTATGGACCCACTTTGTGAAGTGTGAATTGCAATTCTGTCATGTTGTGAATATGATCTCTAATTTTGATCATTCAACAGTTCAGATTTGTCTTTGTTTTTTCGCAATATTCTAAGCATAAACAGCACTTTAAGGTAACTGGAAAAATGCCAATAAACAAGTGAGATAGGAAAGGTTTAATTCACACTTTTGAAAGAAAAAGGAAAAGGAAAATAAGACCTTACGCTCACCATTGGCAATTCAAGAATTCTTCCCCCACCCCCTTCAATTTAAAGACTGTCAATAATACTGGGCCAGAAGGGATTAGACCACCCAGCCAGGTCATTGACAGGTGGCTATCTCATCAACTCAGCTCTCAACTAACATAAGCAAAAGAGGGGACCAACAGGCACCGATTGGGGAAGTTTTCTATATAGAGGGAGCAAGTAGCTAAAAGTAGGACAGTGGGGCTTTAACCCCTGACCCCAGCACCCGACTTACCGAAAATTTCATCTTCCAGAGCCTTCACCTTGCCTCGTTTCTTGATGATGCGGATGGGGCGGTCATTGGCACCATCAGGCTCCTTGTTCCCTCCATCAATTGCAAGTCCTATTGTTCAAAATAAACAATAAAGAGATGATTATAAAACAAAAATAAAATAAATACACTTTAATAACCTTGTGACCTTGACGGGACTGAGTGAAGTGTGTCGACTTGGGCAATCTTCGATTTGTGCATAAGTCGTAGAAATATGACTTACACATGTGCATAACTAGCATAACTGACCTGCAGTGAAAAAAATACACAGAGGCTCGGGGCGAAATAGTCCCCGAAATGCGCGAAATAGAAATTTTAGAATGTTATTTTGATGCAGGCAAGCTTGAAAAGTAGCCCCCGAAAAAGAAATATTAATTTTTTCCCTGCTGACCTGTACCCCTCAGACACCTTTCCAAGGCATAGCCCAGTGTAAAGCTGTGATCACAACCCCAAACAGCTTGTGCAACATCCCAAACTTATGTCCAATATCAGATCAAAATGCAATAATTAAACAAATTTTAAACGAAAGGAATTCCTTGTAAAAATCAAGGCAGTGCAAATATCAATTTTATGGATATTGCTAAGGAGAAATTCAGGTCATATCAAGCAAAATAGATCTCCGGTATCTCCCTCATATTTTTGTAGCTGCTGTTATCATTAATTTCAAGTGTTGGCTAGTCGACCAAGAGGTGGCACTCGTACCTTAGTACCTTTAGTACATGAAATCCCATCTATCTCTCTCTGTCTCCCGTGCGTATACAAGTTACTCAGTGCATGCGGTTATGCGGAAGCGATCTTTTCCAAATCTCTGATCCTTATTGATTGTACATGTACATTATGTACACTGTACCTCTTACATTTGTACCTTTTAGGGCTATGAATCATTAGTTATCGAATTAAACCATGAAATTTTATAAATTATCCAATATAAACCATCAACACTTCCAGCCTCATGTTATGTACTGGAAGTGGATGGCTTGATTAATAGGTCATTAAATAGCCGGTTTACTATCATGTTCAAATTCATGAATGTTTTTTTCTTGGGGATCTAGTGACGAGCTACTCCATAACTTGATACTAATGAATGAACTACAATACTTAGAATGAATTTAGCATACACTTCTTGTTGCTAAGTTGGGGAAGCCTAAGACAAGCTATAAGGTTGTCAAGAACAACCTTTATTTCAGGAGTATGCATGGAATTTGAATATGTTAGTAAACAGGTCTATTGTAGGCCTACTTACCCTATTAATCCTCATATGATACTATCTCACCCATAACAGAATAATAAACAAAATAATGAAATATAATTTGGAAAAATTACAAAAATAGAGAATATTTTGGTGTAATTTGCCAATAAGCTCAACATGGTTCAAAAAGGTATAGATCTGAATACTCACATACACTGTAGAGAAGTATGAAATATAGAATGTTACATGTAGAGAGATCTGATTATATATACACAGCTGCCAATAAATTAGTACAACCAACAACATCTGGCTTTGATATGCAGAAAAAGGGGCGATGGAAGAGAGAGAGAGGGGAGGGAAGAAAGAAAGAGAGAAAGGGAGTGTAGTGGTGAGAGGGAAAGAAGAAGAAAGAGAAAGAGAGAGAAAGAGAGAGAAAGAGAGAGAAAGAGAGAAAGAGAGAAAGAGAGAGAAAGAGAGGGAGAGAGATAGAGAGAGAAAGAAAGAGAAAGAGAGAGAAAGAGAGAGAAGAGAGAGAAAGAGAGAGAAAGAGAGAGAGAGAAAGAGAGAGGAGGAGGAGAATGGGGAAAGAGTATCAAGATGGAAAGCACTGGAACAGAAATATATAAGCATGTATTCAAATGAATAATTTACATTTATTTACATTACAAAACTGTACATGAACTGTTCACATACACATACACATGTAAATATTTATATGTACGTCTATATAACTTTCACCACAAAATCTGTAATTGCAAAATAAAGGCTGCACACTAATTGGCAAATGTTTTCAAGGTTGCATCAGCAAACTTGAGGGTGGTGCCAGGTGTTGACAATTTATCAATGTCTGACTGTCCGCACCTACAATTAATACTAATATTGACACTTTGGCAGCATATTATGTCAGTATGTTTGAGACTGTACAATTATTGGCTGCTGTGCTTGATGATGTATGTCGCTCTGAAATGATAAACACATTGACTGGCATATTTACCTGTTGTGAGGAAATGGACATGGAAAATTCACTTCAATGATTTAAATTATAACCCCCCCCCCCCTACCAAGGATTTTTCTGTTCACTCTTCATCCAAATTGAGTGAAATATTCATGCAGCATGCTACATTTTGTAGTGTATGACCGAAGCTCATGTGCAAGTTCAAAGTATGCATCGTCACCTTAATACCCTTATTGGAGAAAATTTTCCCTGGTATTTTGTCTTTGAATAGCACCAAGGGTGTGCATTTACTGGTATGCATCTCTGAAAGCCTTACCAGTATACACTGTAAACAAACATGTGACTGGTGATCATTCATTTACAATGTATCGACTCACTAATCCAAGATATCCTGCCCCAATAGGCCTGTCTCCACTAGCTCGAGATTGCCAAATATCCCGCTACTTGAACTATCCCGATTTTAAACTATCCAGCTATCCGAAGTTGCAATTAGCGGGATATTTGGTCAGGATTGTCATCCCAAGATATCTTGGATTAGTTTGCAAAATATCCTACTATTTGGCAAAATATCCAGCTATTTGTCCGGAGACCGAAGACTCGCACTATGCGCAAATGCTGAGCAAATATCTCGAACTAATTTCTCAAGGTCGATTTTCAAGTTTCGAGGTCGAATCTCGAGCTGATGAAGACGCGATTTGTAACTTCGGGATTATTTCCCAAATCAGAAATAGCAGGCTATTTGGCGATCTCAAGATGATGAAGACGCGGCCAATAAGCCACTTTAGAGATACAATCTGTTCATTGGCAAATAAAGGTCATTTGTAAAAAAATCTGTAAAACACATCAAGATGGCTGCCGGATACTTGTTCATGACAGTTATGTAATTGTTATTCATTTATCCACCGGGGGTACATTCTATGATACACAGGTTGATGTATTCTTTTCCAGAGGGCAAACAAAAGGTATTAACCTGTTGAATTCTGAATTCATTCATTGCCATAGGCTTAATACAGGGGCCACCCGGTTCCCATAGGCAATAGGTTAATGAAGCACCTCCATCACTTTCAAGTGATTGTTCTAAAATGCACAAAAAGGGACGTCTCCATGTTTATAGGGTCCGTGGATATTTTGGGGTCATTTGAAAAACTGCCATCTCCAAAGTGACCTACGCCAGGAGCAAAAACGATCTCACTAGGTGCTCCCAAAAAGTGCTCCAGAGACAATAGGTAAGTTCGTAAATAGCTTCGGAAGACATGACCCCAAAATATCCACAGATCTTTCAATGATGGATACGACCCACTCGTGCATTTCAGAATAATCACTGCCGAAGTGATGGAGGTGCTTCATGAATAACATTTGTTCGCGCTTGAGAAGAATACTTTCACCTCTGTGTATCAGATAAATGTACTTTTGGTGCATAAATGAACACTGATTCATGAGCATGATACCAGTATTTGTCTTGATGGGTTTTACAATTTGGGAACAAGTGACCTTTATCTGCCCATGCGTAGATGATATTTACGAACTGGCTTATGCTCTTGATTTAACTTCATCAAGATATAGATGTAGGATTGGTTTAGGGTTAGGATTGCAATTATGTTTTAGGTTAGGTTTAGGCTTAAAGTTAGGAACAGTTTTGGGCTGACGTTTAGAATGCAGTTACATGTAGTGTAGGATATTGAAAACAAAAGCAAATGTTGCCAGAGAATGTGTTGTACAAATGTTTGTACATTACCTGCAGAGTCGTAGCCCCTGTACTCCAACCGCTTCAAGCCATTGATCAGCAGCTCTAGGATTGCCTTTCGCTGTTTGGGCACCAGAAAGTTGATGTATGCAAATATACCTGTAAATAATTAGAAACAGTAAAACAAGGTCATCTTTCATGCACTGGAAAGCTACCCTTTAAAGCTCCTCTGCACTAGTTTGGCCAGGAGGGATTAGTTAGACCTCCCTGCATGGTCACAACCAGGTGGTTATCTCGTCAAATCAGCTCTCAATTAACACAAGAAAAAGGGGATCATGGGGGACAGATGGTAACCAATTAGGCATTGTTTGCTATATAGAGGGCGCAAGTAGCTATAAGTAGTGCAGTGGGGCTTTAAAACCACAAACTAGGACAAACATCGCCCTCTATTACCATTCAGGACCACTACCCCGCTTCACCCTACCAGACACCAGTACGACGTTAGACAGAAGAGAAGAGGGCCAACTCTTTTTGTACATGACGAACAGGAGAGTTGTCTGTGACCTCTTCACAATCCACAAACCAAATTGCCAATTTGAGATTTGCACTTATTTAGTGATCTCACCAAACATTCACAATTATCTTAGTAATATTGTTCTGATTATATTTCAAACTTACTCCATTCTATTCATCTAATATTTCTGCTTTCATACAAATGAACCTTATTACAAGGGTGGGATTGCCTTTAATTAGTAATTATTTAGTCATCACCATCATCTATCAATTTGCACCATCTACAATCGAATCTTGACAGAAATAAGTGCCTGGTATGGGGAATTCTTCGATCAAACTTACATTTGTCAATTTTTCCCATACACAGACGGTAACCCTTGCTGCACAGCGCACGCACAAGGGGGAGCTCGGAGGGAGCTGACTGTACAAGCCGATTTCCACTGGAAGCTGGTGAAAAGTTTGGCTTTTGACTTTGTTTATCTTTATCTTAAGTAACTTTACAGTTTGATTTAAAAGAAAAAAGATTGGAAAGAATATAGATATTTTCATATTTAATTTAAGAAATAACTTCAAAAATCAATGTAAATCAACTACAAGGACTTCATTTCAGCTAATCTGTCCGTTTTCTTGAAGTTACTGTGCACGGTGTGTTTGGTAATTACACATAAACTGCACTGCTTAACCTCCCTTCATTATCCCGTACAATGTACTTCAGTCTCTGTAAAGAGCCCAAGATGGTCAGTGAACCAGACATGGTCACAGCAGTAAAACACTCCAAAAAAGATAAGAAAATTGACACGAAGCAGGTAAGAAAGATAACGACTTATAAATCATGACCCTTATTTGAACAATTGTTGAGGATTTAGTTGATTTTTGGTATGTTAAAGTAGGGTATCTCTACACCATAGTCACGGGTTGAAATTATGGTCACAGTTCTGAACAAGCGCCGTTTTTTTACGCAGTCAGGCTTCCACTGCCAATTCGTGTATAGTAGTGTATATCATTCTTATACTAGTCCCGAACTCCAAGAGCTTCGACGCCGAAGCCAAAGGCATCGAAACTCCAGAGCCGGCATATACGTAAACGATTCAAACAGCAGGTTGAGTCACATTTTTTCAAAATGTAAAGAGGTAGTAAATACAATTTTGACCACAATGTTTTTTTACTCCTCTGGGCTGGAATCCGTCCAACCACTTGAAATTATAATTTGAAGAAGTCTTTGATAGGAAAGAGGGTGATTCTTCGTCCTAACCCGCTCGTTGATTCAACATGGCGAAGAGAAATACAAATGCGCGGTAGCGGCACAGAAAATATGAATATTCATGATATAGAGCACCATTCCCTCAAAATTCTGAATATGCACAAGGTTGATTAGACCGAATTTTTCGTCTCTTTCGTTCGTTAGCCTCAATAAGAGGGTGATTCTTCGCCTCAATAAGAGGCTAACAAACGAAAGAGATGGAAATTTGGTCTAGAGGTTGATATTCAGCAATTTCGAGTGTATGGCGCTCTATAGCATGAATATTTTTATTTGCTGCGCCGCTTCCACGCATGTACACTATCTCTTCGCCATGTTGAATCGACGATGCAACATGGATGAATCGTCAGGTTAGGACAAAAAATCAGTCTTTTTTCGAAGACTTCTTCAAATTATTGTGGTTGGGACGATGCACTGAGGAGTGAGGAGTCCAAAAACATTGTAAGTCAAAATTGTGGTGCTAATTCAGAATCATCTCCATGCTTTGACCTGTAACTCTGGCGTGGAGATACCCCACTCAAACATACCAAAATTAAATCAGCTAAATCTTCATCAAAATGTCAATTGTTCAGATAATTAATGGTCATGAATTTATAAAAGACGTTGTCGTTATGCTTCTGACCCGTTTCGTGTTAATTTTCTAATCTTTTTGAAGTAATTCCCCCCCCCCCCCCACATATATTACTGGTCAAAGTATGGATATGATTCTGAATTAGAGCCAAAGTTGTAATCACTACCTCTTCACACTTTAACAAATTCAATGAATCGTTTTCCTGTACGACTCGGCTCTGGAGCTCCGACGCGAAGCCTTCGGGGCGCGTCGGCGTCGGAGCTCCCTGGAGTTAGGGTCGAATGGTGGTCGCGCACAAACATTTCGGAAAATTACCGACATAACCTTTTGAGACAATTTTTACTAATAGTGATGCATCCATTACCAAGCGATGAATTAAAATACTGAAAAATCAACACTAATATATTCACAGCTTTGACTTACCGCACATCTTGGTTGATTATTTGGAGTCTTTTGGTGTCTTGATCGCGAACCCACCGTTGCCAATAGCACGACGGATTATTACAGGAAGGTGTGTCATGAAAGACTCCGAGCTACGGAAGATCCTATTGGTCGTAAGATTCTGATGCAGTAAATGTCAACCAATGAAATCACTTTACAGCAGCCGTAGAGGTACATGTGCACTTGTGCTGTTTGCAGAGACCTTTGTAAACATACTACTGGTCCAAACCCATTTTGGGTACGTGGCAGTTCTCATTGAAATGAGAAAGCTATGCATAGAAAAATTAGACAATTTCATCATTATCTGAAATTACATGGTCGGATTTCATCATTATATTTGTTGTTAAAATTTCTCGGATAATATTGGTAAGAAACTTGCACCGGTAGGTTATCTGTGTCCTAGTTTTACATCAATGAAAATAAATTAAAAAAATAAAACAACTCAAATTGTTTCACTTATTTCTTCTTCTATTGTTTATCCATGCCCACTTTTGACAGGGTATACTTAATTGGAGTTTTTGTTTAAACCATTAAGCTGTATTCTGTTTTAATGGAAATTAAAGACTGTATGCGTCTCATTTTATTTATCGAAATGTGTGTGTGTGGGCCCCCACACACACACACACACTCACAAAGATGTGCCCATGATGTGCTTGATGAAAATAATAGGCTTATAGCTCACCATCATATTTTGAGAAATATCCAAACAAGTTGTATGTGATTTGTTTGTTCGTTTCTTTTGTCTTTACGATCAGTCAGCATATGTTTTATAGACCTACGTACTGCCATTCATTGAACCTTGTGTTGATTTATTATTGATTTTAAAACTAAAAAGCATTAAAAAAATATAACACAATAATGAAATGTAACTTCATAGCACGAACAAGATAACTACGAAAAAAGTGACATAAATGACAACGACTTGTCCTTTTGGACACCGACGAAATTTTCATATAATGAAGCGTAAAAGGATTGACCATTGACAAATTGTGAACAATTATGTCAAATACATCTAATCAGCCGTTGTTGATCAAGTAGGCGAAATATTGAGGTACCCGCAAATGACATCGATATACCCGCATGTATCATGACAGGGGGCCCGTGGTCATACAAAGTGGCGTAGCCGGAAATCCAGGTACAGACAGAAATTGAGGGGCACCAGCATCGTGGGTAAGAGGAGGGGGGGGGGACATTCTTTCTTACACATGTACATTTTTAAGGCCATTGATTATAAAGGAAGAGGGTATGAAGAACTCGAGCATATAGAACCTTGATCTTCTTCACATTTGGCCTTTTCCCCTTTCTCTCTCTCTCTCTCTCTCTCTCTCTCTCTCTCTCTCTCTCTCTCAAGCACGTAGCCACGGGGGGGGGGGGGGGGGGGCACGTGCCCCCAACAAATTTCCAAGATCGGTTGAACTTTTTAGACCCCCTTTTTTTTTTTACCTCGATCGATTACATGTATGTGTCCCTCCAAACATCAAACTCTGGCTACGTGCCTGCTCTCTCTTCCCTCCTTTTCTTTTCGTTCTCATTTTTCTTCTTCTTTTCTTACGTTTAGTTCGCCATTCGATTGGCGGAAGGGGAAGGCAATGCAGCAAACCCCATCCCCCTATAACTATACGTCATTATACCTGAGCCAATATGTTTCCCGGGGATGCTGGCTCTTGATCAACAATAGTTAATGAAAATGAAAGTGCCGAGGTTCAAACAATTTTTGAGGGGGGAAAAAAAATCATTCGTTCAAAACCAATATAGTCCCCGATCGTTTTATTGAACCAAAAGATCTCAATCCTTTTTTCTTCCTTCTTTTGGTTCATTTTGTGAAACAAAAATTAAACAGCGCACATCACTCGAACGAAAGGGACGTGTTTCGTAGCCTGATTTTTACCTTTTTACTACAGAATTGAACCTCTGTTGTAAAATTCAAACACCTGCCATCATTTTGGACGATTGTCAGCTCATACTCGGAGAGCGACAGTGGTATTTTTGTAATGTTTTCATCTAGTATTCATGACGAAAATTACATTAACTGGATACACAGTACAGTGAACCTAAAGAGAATGATAATGGGTCTCTTCTTAAATTAGCCAGAATGAAAACAGATCGGCTACCCCCCCCCCCCCCCCCCATCCCATCCCGACCCTTTGTTGCCTATACAATTTTTGGTCTTGGTCTTGGTTTTGGTTTTGGTCTCGCGGACTTTTAACACTTGATCATACATTCTTAGGAAAGCCGTCAAGAGAACGAATATTTTGTTCGCATTTTTCTCTTTTGTGATCGGAAATAGAAATTATAATAGCGAAATAAAAAAATGTGCCTAACCTTAGAGATTCTAACATTTCCAGATGTACGGGGCTGATACCGAATTTCTTTGAAGTTTTGAAGTTTGAAGTTTAATTTATTCCACATTTTACATAGAAAAACAGTTTATATTCTTTTCTTTTTTTGTACAGGTGTATATTATTATAAGTCTTAGAGTAGATTTCACACAAGAAAATATATTAAAGAAAAAATTAAAGAATTCAAATCAAATATAATGTACGGAAAATAAGTACGACATTTCGAAATTTGTATATAACAGGCTATAGGTAGAACAATGTAAAATATGGGGAGCCTATAAATAAAAGGCATAGCTTGTATGTGAATAGGCTCCCGTACTGAGTAACACAATATAGTAGGTCTGGATTTAAAATGTATTATAGGAGGCGAAAACGGAGTAGTATTTTTATGAAATTCTAGAGACGTACAAGGAGAGTGAATTTGAGAAGAAACGAAATACACTGTTGCCGATAAAGTTGAAATAATTTTCCTTACCTCTTTTCGAGTAGCGATTTTGACTAATGGTTTAGATTTTCCCAGAAGTGTATTGATCAATCCAAAGAGTCATAGAGATTGATCAATACAGCTCAGAGAAGACAGAAACTGAATATATCAAGAATAAACCATATTGTCTCAATCATTACATTACAAGGGGTGGTAAAATAACTATTAGTCTATAAAGGCAACAGTGTATTTTTGAAATCCTTTAGACAGGGTATAGACCTGGGCCCCATCTTATAAAATTGCGATTGATCCAAATCAATCGCAAGTCCTCCAACCAATCGCAAGTTTGCAGTCTTCTATCTCTTATGTACATAGTTGCGATTGATATCAATCACAAATAAGTTGCGATTGATATCAGTCACAAATAAGTTGCGATTAATATCAACTCTTTTTAAGACGGGGCCCTGAATTAGGTTGATTATAAAGAACAGGCACATGTTGATGAGGAGGTTAAAGATTCTAATTAAATAACAATTCAATTGAAAATTCATTAAACAACTTTAGGGCTATAGGAAACTGATCGATTTCAAATCACAAATCATAGTAAAAGGGGGTATCATTACAAATGAAACTAATCAGGCTTCTAATAAATGAATGTAACAGAAACGTGAGATGAATCATCGATTAAACTTGGGTAGGCGAGGTGTCATCGAAAGATAATTATAATGTCGAAAAAAAAGCAGCATTTTTGTTTTCCACCACGAGAAAAGAGTTTATCAAAGAATGTTCGTTCTCTTGAATGGGAGTATAGAGTTATTCGCTGTTCTAGTGCACTTGGAATCAAATTGAGACGCCGTCGGTGCTTTTGTGTTGCTTTTCTTTTCATAAAGAAATATCAAGATATAGTTCACCATCTCTCTCTATTGATATGTCTCTGATCCAATATACGAGCGTTTATTATCTTTTCAATTTTTACATTGAATCCTTATGCAATTTATATCGAGGTAGGCATTTCTGAGCGCTTTAAAACGACAAACCATTGGATTTTCAATTGTAAGGAATTAGAATACTAAACATACATCAAAGAGGAGGACAATGTCACCGGTATCTTATTCCCATGCATGTCTATTGTTATCGTCGGTTGAAACACATAGAATGTAAGATGCATTATTGAATATAATCTTTTAGTTCAAAAAAGAATTTTCCTCACAATTGACCTTCATTGCATTCCCCTTTTGTTCAGCATGATCAACCAGACTTAAAGAGAAGAAAGTTGAATATTTATGAGCTAATTCTATTTAGCATATAATTTTTCAACTATTTTCGTATCTATAACATAAAAAAAGAAAACTGCCGCCTCTCTGATTTTTTTTCTTTTCGCCATTGTCATTTTTGGCCAATTTCAAAGATTATGTTAAGAAAGCTGGAGAAATATTGTTGCTTGCCCTGGCAACCCAATAATCACCTTGGCCGTTGCTGTTCAAGGGCAAATCTACGGGGGAGGGGGGGGGGGGGGGGGGGGGGGGGGGGGGGGGGGGGGGGGGGGTTAGGGGGGTTTACCCCCCCCCCCCCCCCCCCCCCTTGGGCTGCCAAGTGAAAATGTGATGTGCATAGAAAACACCATCATATTGTGTCCAAACCCATACAGTATTAGTAGATGCCAGGAAAACATCACTTACGGGGGTTCAAAATAGCAAAAGAAATCGCCTTGCCGCTACGCGACTCGTGGACGATGCTCCGCATGTTAGTAGATACCAGGAAAACATCACTTACGGTGGTTCAAAATAGCAACACAAAATATCGCCTCGCCGCTTCGTATTGAGTCACCCCCCCCCCCCCCCCCCCCCCTTGGCAAAAAGCTAGATCCGCCCCTGCTGTTATTGTGCTTTTTTGTGATTGGAAATTGAATCGTTCTGAATTTAGGAAACATATTAAATGCACGCCCGTCATTCGAGACCGTCGTCCTCGGCCTCATTTGGTGAATACAAGATCGGCAGAAATAACCGAATCGCCAGGCGACGATTCCCCTCGGGTTTTACGAGTCATGCCAATCCTACAGCCTTTTCACACACAGCTAAAATTCATCGTATCTAGAGATGATTACACTCTTATTTCCACGGAGTCAAATTTCACTCTAAATGGCGTCAGCTGGGAGTCAACTCTATTCCTAGTTAAAGTGACACGGATTCCGAATCAATTTGACTCGGATTGTGTGGCATCAGCTGAGAATTGACTCAATTCAGAGTCAAGATGACTCCTTTTCCGTGTCACTTTAACTAGGAATAGAGTTGACTCCCAGCTGACGCCATTCAGAGTGAAATTTGACTCCGTGGAAATAAGAGTGTAGTATAAA